GCTGGAAATTTGTTTCACTTTGTCTTTTTGTGGGTTCTACTGCTTTAGAATTTGTTTAGGGCCATTTTTATAGGTATTTGGAGGGGTTTGGGGGAGAGCTCAAGCAAGTCGCTACTTTTACTCCACCGTCTTGGCTCCACCCCCAAAACTATCACTCTTTGCAGATGATACGATGGGACACTTAGAGAATCTTAGAGAATCAACTAAAAAATCTACTTGAAATAATTAACAACTTTAGGAAAGTTGCAAGATACAAAACAAACTCGGATAAATAATCATATATTTCTATATATTACTAACAAAGCTCAGCAAGAAGAGATAGAGAAATTCCACTTAAAATTAACTGTAAACAATATAAAATATTTGGGAGTCTCCTTGTCAAGACAAATATGAACACAATTACAAAACACTTTTCACGCAGATAAAGTCAGATCTAAACAACTGGAAAAATCTCAATTGCTCATGTGCAGGCCGAGCTAATATGAAAAAAAAAAAAGAAAATTCTACTTAATTAATTTACCTATTCTGTGTCACACCAATCAAATTACCAAAAATTATTTTATAAAGCTAGAAAAAAAATTCATCTGGAAAAGGTCAAGCATATCAAGGGAATTAATGAAATGCAAATAAAAATTAATGAAATGCAAAAAAATGCAAATGAAGGTGGCCTAGTGTACCAGATCTAAAAATATATTATAAAAAGCAGTAATCATCAAAACTATTTGATACTGGCTAAGAAATAGAGTGGTGGATCAGTGGAATAGATTAGGTACATAAGATACAGTGGTAAATGATCATAGTAATACACTGTTTGAGAAACCCAAAGACTCCAGCTTCTGAGATAAGAAATCACTATTTGACAAAAACTGCTGGGAAAACTGGAAAATAGTAAGGCAGAAACCAACATCTCACACCATATACCAAGATTAAGATCAAAATGGGTACACGATTTAGACATATAGGGTGATACCATAAGCAAATTAGGAGAGCAAGGAATAATTTACCTGTCAGATCTATGGAGAAGGGAAGAATTTATAACCAAACAAGAGACAGAGAATATTATGAAACGCAAAATGGATAATTTTGGTTACATGAAATTAAAAAGGTTTTGCACAAACAAAACCAATGCAACCAAGATTAGAAGGAAAGCAGAAAGATGGGAAGCAATTTTTACAGCAAAGTTTCTGATAAAGGTCTCATTTCTCAAATATATAGAGAACTAAGTCAAATTTATAAGAATACACATTATTCTCCAATTGATAAATGGCCAAAGGATATGAATAGGCAGTTTTCAGATGGAGAAATTAAAGCTATCTATAATCATATGAAAAAATGCTATAAATCACTATTGACTAGAGAAATGCAAATCAAAACAACTCTTAGGTACCACATCACACCTATCACACTGGCTAACATGACAAAACAGGAAAACGATAAATGTTGGCAAAGATGTGGGAAAACTGGGACACTAATGCATTGTTGGTGTAGTTGTGAACTGATCCAACCATTCTGAAGAGCAATTTGGAACTATGACCAAAGGGCAATCAAATTCTTTGATTCAGAAATACTACTACTAGGTCTGTATCCCAAAGAGATCATAAAAAAGGGAAAAGCACCTACATGTACAAAAATATTTATAGTAGATCTTTTTGTTGTGGCAAAAAACTGGAAAGTTAGGGAATACAGATCAACTGGGGAATGGCTGAACAAGTTGTGGTATACGAACGTAATGGAATACTATTATGCTATAAGAAATAATGAGCAGGCTGATTTCAGAAAAACCTGGCAAGATTTATATGAAATGATGCAAAGTGAAGTAAGCAGAACCAGGAGAACATTGTACACAGTAACAGCAACATTGTGTAATGATCAACTATGATTGACTTAGCAGCTCTTCTTAGCAATACAGTGATCTAAGCCAATTCCAAAAAGCTCATGATGGAAAATGCAGAGAAAGAACTATGGAATCCAAATGCAGACTGAAGCATACTATTTTCATTTTTTGTGTTGTGTGGCTTTTCTCTTTTGTTCTGTTTCTTCTTTCACAATATGACTAATGAAGAAATATGTTTACATGACTGCACATGTACAACACATATCAGACTGCTTGCCATCTTGGGGAAGGGGGATGGGATGGAGGGAAGGTGAAAAAATTTGAAACTCAAAATCTCATAAGAAATGAATGATGAAAACCATATTTATATGTAATTGGAAAAAATAAAATACTATGTATACCAAAAAAAAATTAGTTGGCTAAAAACCGACTCTATAGGACTAAAGAAGTCTACCAACTTTTTTGACTCAAAATGTAAAATGAGACATACATTTTTGAATGTGGCCAATTTGGGAATTTGTTTGTTTGACTGCACACAAGAGATTTGTTTTTCTTTTCTTGGGGGGGGGGAGGAAGATGTGAGAAAAAGTGAATTCCTGAAAATTGAAAAAACTTTTAAAAAAGAACTGCAAAATATATAGTTGGTCAGTGTGTATAACAGTTCCAATTTTGCTGATTTCACTCCATTTCACCTCCTACAGATCTTTCCCTATTTCTTTGAATGCTACCTATTGATTTTTTTTTTTAAAGAACATAATGTTATTCCATTACACTGACATATCATAGTTTACTGTCATTTCCCAATTAACAGACATATAGTTTGCTTCTAGTTTTATTGCTATTAGAAAAAGGGAAGTAAGATCCTTTATACCAGATAGATCCTTTTTTCCATTTCAAGATTTCTTAGGATAAAGTCATAGCAATGAAATTATGAGGCAAAAGCTATGATTAGTTTTGTGAATTATTATATACTGTTCTTCAAATGTTTGCCTTAGAATTCAAAATCCCATCAACAACCTTTTAGAGAATTTGTTTTCCCATAGTTTCACAACACTCAGTTTTATTACAAAAATTATTAAAAATTTTTTTGGTATTTTTGTCATTCTGAAGTCAGTTTATCTTAAGAGTGTTTGTATTTTCATTTCTCTGATGCTTAGGGAATTTGAACATTTTGTCAACAATTTCTATTTCCTCTATCATAAACTGTCTATTAATGTCCCTTGATCTCTAGTTCATACTTCTTCTGGCTCCCTTTCTGATATCTGTATGCATCTGAATTTCCTGGCTCCTAAGATGCAAGAAGAAATGCTATAGAATTTTAGTGCTAGAATGAGTATTTCAGACCATTTAGTGCAAACCTCTCAATTTTAAAGGTGAGGAAACTGAAGCTCCATTAAAGGACTTAAAAGCAAAGTCACACAGCAAGAGGTAGAACCAGGACACTTACTCCATCCTCCACTCCCCCGTCCCAACCCATTCTTCTTATATAACATTCCTGTTACACAATCTGGTGTGTGAGTTCTACCATACTATCTAGAAGCATGTTTGTCAAGGCTAAGCATCTAAAGAAGGCATCACAGATTTTTACTCAGCAAGCATGAGGATTCTACTCCAAAGCCTTTAAAGAGCATTAACTGGGCAGGAAATGACAAAGGGATATTGAATTTTCACTTGCACATTTGATGATGATTTATTATACAACGAATAATTATGAACTCAATCATATGCATCACTTAATCTTAGTTAAGCATAGTACTTTATAAGACCTCAAAATGGTAAATGAACTGATTTAACTGGCCCTTTTAACCAAAAATGTATAAATCTGATTAATAGATATGCTATAATTTCAGAAATATTTTATTTTCATGTATGACTGACTTTCAACTGACACTGGACCTTGAGAATCATTCTTTTAACAAACACATATTAAGTGCTGTGTACACACTACTGTGCTATGTGCTAGGAAAGAAATAAAGTTTAGAAAACAATGCCTCTGACTTCATGGGTTTCAAACTATCTCTGTTTTGTCTCTCTATGTCAATTGCTTTTGTTCAGTTGTATCTGACCCTTCATGACCCTATTTTGGGGCTTTCCTGGTAAAGATATTAGAGTGCTTTGCCTCTTCCTTGTCCAGCTCATTTTACAGATGAGAAGCTGAGACAAATGGGATAAGTGACTTGCCCACGGTCACACAACTAGTACATTTCTGAGGCCACATTTGAACTCAGGAAGGTGAGTCTTCCTGACTTCAGGACCAGTGTTCTATCCACTGTGCCACCTATCTGTATCTCTATATCAATTAATAATCTATAAATAAGCACTGATATGTTCTAGAAGAGCTGCATTTATAACATTTTATTTTTAATAGCACTTAATGGAGTCAGGACAAAGAGGATCATAAGCAATGTCTCTGAAACTTAGACTACATTTCTCTCCTCACCTTTTCCCCTTGGAATCCTTAGCTTCCAAACCCAGTGCTTTGCTTGATTTTTCCAGTTGTTAATGTTATATTTGCTTATCTATGTACATGTTGTAGTCCTCAGTGCCTTGCACATACTAAGAGCTTAATAAATGTTTGCAAGTGAATGTCAACATTTAGAATGTGTAAAAATATTACCTCACTATTGGGGTCTTATAGTTGAATTCTTCCTAGTGATGTCACAGAGCAATGACAAAATAACCAAGAAGGACAGGCGATCAATTTATTTAAGTATCTCTGTGAAGGCTATTTTTTTGTATATTTAATTTTAATTTAATTGGAGTGACAGAATGGGAATAAAATCCAAACCCAGCTACTTAAAAAAATGCAGAACCATCTTATTAAAATGAGCAAAGCATTTCATTTTTTCAGTTAAAAAATTCAAACAGCTACTTAAGAATATAAACTCCTCGACAGCAGGGACTATTTCATTTTTGCATTTGAATTCCTAGCAGGTATATAGCAGGTACTTAAAAATGCCTGCTGATTTTTGGATTTGAAAAAAAAGCTTATTTATATTTATTATAAATAACCCATTTTAAATATCATGCACAAATTTCATATGACAAGAAGAAAAAATGAGTACAGAAGACTTTGATACTAATAGCCTTAGTCTGTATTCCCTTAAAAAATTAAGGCCCATAGTATTTGGCAGAAAAGATGCTGTGATATATTCAGAATACTTACCTCTTGACTTGTTTTCTGGTATGCTTTCATGTAGAAAATAAAAACCGTATCAAAGGGTCGACATGGTAAGAGATCCAAATAGCCAATGTCATCAAAAAATCCAGAAATGGTTGAGTCAAGTGCAATAAGGTGAGGAGGTAGACGACTATTTGTAGGTTCCTTTCCATCCAAAAACAAACAGAACAAAACAAACTATTTAAAATTTCTATTAGCAGTTAAAGAATTAATGTAAGTAAAGAAGTTTAACATGTACTTTAAAATCTCCTTTTAATTATCAAAGTTTGAAGACAACACAAACTAAAAAGGAGTCCCATTACAGATAATAATAATAGGTAGTATTTACATAGCACTTTAAGATTTGCAAAGTACGTTAGAAATATTTCATTTTATCCACACAACTGAGAGGTAGGTGCTATTATTTTATTATTACATGTTATGCTATTCTCCATCTTTATAGATTAAGAAACTGACCCAGAGTAAATGACTTACCCAGGGTCACACAACTACTAAGTGTCTGAGGCAGAATTCAAACTCAAGTTTTCCTGATCTCAGATTCAATGTTCTATCAACTGTAACTAACACTTAATTGTCTTAAAAATGATATACCTATCTTAAAATTATAGGCCTATTTATGTTACGGCTGTAGATTAAAGGTCAGCTAATAATCACAGTAAAGACAGAACAGTTGGTACACTCATACAAATATGTTCTGTATTTTTACATCCCAGACATCATAACAGGGACCAAATAAACAGTCCAGTGCTAGTGGTTCTAGCTTAAGTAAATTAGCATTTGAAATAATGATAATGCTAATGATACACATTCATGAAGCACTTTTCTTATAATCCCTCTGAGGTACATAGTATGTGATTCCCACTGAATGAAGGAAGGCAACATAGAGGCTTAGAGAGTGTAAGTAGATCTGCCCAGGGTCACACAGGCAATACTGGATTGGAAGCCTGGGTTTCAGTCCAGTACTGCTTCCTTTACACCACTGGACTTTCTAGGCTGAAGAGAAACAGTAAACAATGATTGCTTTTGATTGCTTTGCTGCATACACTAGCTAGAATTCATCTTTGGGGAAAAAAAAAAAGAACACCAAACTTATTCTGGTCATCTTTTGCTTTTACATTACTTTCATTTCCAAATACACCACTCCTCAATCTTCTATCAAGCCATCCCTTGCAACAAGGAATTTGAAAGATAGAAAAAAAGAGTTCCCACAAAATCAAGCAAAATACATCATCGGCCAAGTCTGACAGCATAGGCCATATGTAATTCAGTCTTTCAACTATGACAAAATGACATGTTCTCTTAGTAAGGTATAATGTCTCCCTTGCTGTTTCAGAACATCAGTGGAGCTGCTGAAACTGATCTATCAGAACAGCTTCTAAACAAGGAGGAAGACACAAGGGGACAACAATTCTACACCGCTGACACTCCTCCTTTTCCTCACCTATTTCAGAATAGGTGGAAATGAAGGGAATGCTTCTCAATAAACCAATTTTTGGATTAGCTCTATACCCTTCGAAGTTTAACCTTCACAGTAGGTATAAAATATGAACTATTTCTGGATATTTCAACTGAGCAGTGATCTTTGAAGTGTACTAAGAATCCAGGCTTGCTAATGATCAAATGAGAAGTATGCACTTGTGAAGTGCTTAGCACAGTGTCTGTCACAGAGTAGGCACTTAATAAACACCTATTCCCTTTCTTTCTCTTCCCCTATATATATATATATATATATATAAATGATATATATATATATAAATGATATATATAACATAAATAATATTATATACATAAATATAATGTATACGTGTGTGTGTATCTACATGTACGTAAATAAATATAAATGATAGAGTCCATAAGATGCATTCTCTGTGGATTGCTATGTTCTCAAAATACATCAATTCACATATAACAACATACTCATCATATCGATCCCTGTTGTTGTTCAGCTGTTTCAGTCATGTCCAACTCTTTATAACCCCATTTGAGGTTTTCTTGTCAAAGAAATGGTTTGCCATTTCCTTTTCCAGCTCATTTTACAGATGAGGAAACTGAAGCAGACAGGGTTAAGTGACTTGCCCAGGGTCATACAGCTACTCAGCGTCTGAGGCCAGACTCATGACGATGAGTCTTCTTGACTCTAGTCTGGCACTCTATCCAGTGCACCACCTAGCTACCCATTTGATCCCTGGAACACAATAACTTCTCCTCTATGAAATTTGCACAAACACAAGAGTGGTCCACATAAACTCACTGGACCAAAACAGATAAAAAATATATACTGCCTAAACTATGACTTGCAATCAGCCAAGCACTCCATTAATGAGCTGAGCCTGGGACTGAGTAGGTGGCGGAGACACGGACAGACTGAATTTGGAAATTGTACTGCTTTCGATGCTTCTAAACTCCTCAGTAGAGCAAAAGTACATCTCTTTAACACCAATATTTCCAAAGTGGCACTATATATGGTTAGCAAATCATGGAATATCATGCTTATAGAAGAATCAAAATTATAAACATAGCCAAGGGTAAGGAATAGTAACACATGGCAGATATAACAGATAGGTTACACCACATTACTAGTGATAATGTTCAGGTTATGAGTGGGATAAAAGGCAACATTTTGGACATGTATGAGCACAAAAGGAGGTGGGCTGGTCAAACAACAACAAAAGATGAGACAGGCAGCCTGAGTGGCATATGGGTATTACCAAGATATTAAAAGAATGAAACGCAGGCCTCTCAGAATTTCAGGAAAGACAGACTATAAGAATACTTCAGTATGAGAGTAAAAAAGATTTGATTTGCATTGGTGGAAAGTGTACCCAGACTAACGAAGTCACAGATCCATTAAATGTCAAATAAGTCCCCCTGGCGATCCATGGAATGGACCAAATGAAAATTCTGAGCCAAAACAGGTCTAACAAAGAAAAAAATAGCACAGTTATGACTCTGAGGATCCTACACTTGAGAGAAATAAGCCATTTTCACACTACTGCTACTGACATGTCTTCCAGTTTGTTTTAGGATAAGGTGAAGAGATTGCATACAGGCCCCAAGGATGGCAAATTAGAAGCAAAGTGCTACAGAGGATTATATCCAAAGAACTGATCTTGCTTTTTTCTCCCCAACAGTCCTAATCTTGTAATAAAATATCTTGATTCCAGATATCTAAAATTAATAGAACTGTCTTGCTTTTGTTCTTCCCCTGGATAGTAAGACCTATGAACTAAGGGCAAGCTGGATATGATCAAACAGGAGACAGAAAGTTTTTTTAAAATACAGACATCTTGAGTGTCAGTGAACTGAAATGAATGGGAATAGATAAATTTAATTCGTTACACATACTATACTACTGTGGGCAAGAATATCTTAGAAGAAATGGAATAGCCCTCATGGTCAACAAAAGGGTAAGAAACACAGTACTGGGATATAATGTAAAAATGACAGAATATCTGTTTGAACCCAAGGCAAACTATTCAACATCACTGTAATACAAGTCTGTATTCCAACCACTGATGCCAAAGAGGCCAAAGTTGCCCAATTCTATGAAGACCCACAACTTCTAGAAATAACACCAAAAAAAAAATGTCACATTCATCAAAAAGAATTGAAGTGCTAAAGTAGAAAATCAAAAGATATGGAATATCTTATGGAGTAAGATATGGAATAAGAGACAAGTTTGACCTTGAAGTACAAAATGAAGCAGAGGCAGAGACGAACTGAGTTTTGTCAAGATTACTTCCTGGTCATAGCAAACACTTTTTTTCAACAACTCAAAAGGTGACTCTACACATGGACGTCACCAGATGGTGATCAGACCTGATTATATACGTTGCAACTAGAGGTGGAGAAACTCTATACAGTCATTTAAAACAAGACCTGGAAATAACTGTGGCTCATATTGTGTGCTTTTTTCATTGCAAAATTCAGACTTAAATCAAAGAAAGACTATATAGGTATGACCTAAATAATGTCCCTTATGAATATGAAGTAGAGGGGCGATGAATATATTTAAGGGATTAGATCTGATACAGTACCTGAAGAACTATGTTCACAATATTGTAGAGGAGGCCATACCAAAAACCATTCCAAAGAAAAAATAAGTATAAGAAAGCAAAATGGCTGTCTGAGGAGACTTTAAAAATAGCTGGGGAAAGAGGGGAAGTGAAAGTCAAAGGAGAAAGAGAAAAATATAAAAATATACCCAATTGAATGCAGGAGTCTTAAATAAGCAATGCAAACAAATGGAAGAATATAAGACAAGAGATCCCTTCAATGAAATTAGAGATATCAAGGGAAAACTTCAAGCAAAAACGGGTATGATTAACAAAAAAAATGGCAGGGACTTAACAGAGGTGGCAAGAATATACAGAAGAATTGAAAGATATAACATCATTCTTAACTACAATGGTGTGGTTACTGATCTACAGCCATACATCTTGGAAAGTGAAGTCAAGTGGGCCTTAGGAAGCATCACTAACAATAAGGCTAGTGGAGGTGATGGAATTCCAACTGAGCTATTTAAAATCCTAAAAGATAATGCTGTTAAAGAACTACACTTAATATGGTAGCGAATTCAGAAAACACAAGATGGCCACCAGATTGGAAAAGATCAGTTTATGTCTCAATCCTAAAGAAGGGCAATGCCAAAAAATGTTCAAATTATCAAACAATTGTGCACATTTCACATATTAGCAAGATTCTGCAATCTAGGCTTCAACAATATGTGAACCAAGAATTACCAGAAGTGTAGGCTAGTTTTCAAAGAGGCAGAGGAACTAGAGACCAAATTGCCAACATTTGCTGGATTATGGAGAAAGCAAGGGAGTTCCAGGAAAACATATTCTTCACTGACTACACTAAAGTCTTTGACTACGGATCACAACAAAACGAGATGGGAGTACCAGATCATCTTACTTGTCTCTTGAGGAATCTATATGTGGGTCAGGAAGCAACAGTTAGAACTGAACATGGAACAACTGCTTGGTTTAAGACTGGAAAAGGAGTGTGACAAGGCGATACACTGTCACCTTATTTATTTAACTTACATTCAGAGTACATCATGTGAAATGGTTGAAGTGAAAGCTGGAATTAAGGTTGCCAGGATAATATCAATTATCTCATATATACAGATGACAATGCCAAAAAGTGAAGAATTAAGAAGCCTTTTGATGATGATGATGAAAGAAAACAATGTAAAAACTAGCTTGAAGCTTAAGGTTTAAAAACAAACAAAAAAAACCCAGCTAAGATCACGGTAACTAGTCCTATCACTTCCTGGCAAAGAGAGAGAGAAGAAATGGAAGCAATGTCAGATTTTATACTCTTGGGCTTAAAGATCACTGCAGGTAGTGAGTGCAGCCATGAAATTAAAAGACATTTGCTCCTTGGAAGGAAAGCTATGGCAAATCTAGACAGAACACTAAAAAGTAGAGATATCACCTTGCTGACAAAGGTCTGTATAGTTAAAGCTATGGTTTTTCCAGTAACAATGTATGGCCATGAGAGTTGGCCTATAAAGAAAGCTGAGCACCACAGAATCAACATTTTTGAACTGTAGTGCTGGAAAAGATTTTGAGAGTTCCTTGAACAGTAAGATCAAATCAGTCAATACTTAAAGAAATTAATTCAGGCTATTTATTGGAAAGACAAATACTGAAGATGAAGCTAGGACTTACTGAAAAAGACCATGAGTTTGGGAAAGATTGAAGGCAAATGGAGAAGGAGATGGCGGAGGATGAAATGGATATATAATGTCATGAAAGCAATGAACATGAGCTTGGACAGACTTTAGGAGACAGTAGAGGAGAGAAGGGCTTGACATGCTATGGTTCACAGGGTCACAAAGAATCATACACGAATGAACATCTGAAAAACAACTTGCTTTTATTCTGTTGTGTCAAATGGCAAATATAAGGTTAATTTTCTAGAAGAATTTTTTGGAATAGTCTATAGCAGAGGTGTCCTTTGGGCCTCAACTCACCCACAATACTCCTAAGTATGCTCCAAAGCAGCTTAAAATGTAATGGGAAAATATTTAAAAAATAAAAATACAAGAAAACACATATGTCACATTTTAAAAATAACTCAATATGTGCCCTGCAGGGATCCTTATATATGGATTAGTGGTTCCTGTTTCTATTTGACACAACCAAACCATACATCTTAAACACCATCTTGTATGGGCTGCTTGTAATAGCTGTTGATACTTATATAAAGAGGTTTTGTGGGGACAGAAACTAATTACTATGGTACTTTAAAAAAAACCTAGATTTCAATTATCCCATTAGTATTTATTGTTCATTACTAGGGATATTTGAGAGCTAGAAGCATTAGGGAACTCAAGGAAATATATTTGAATGTATGTGCAAAAAGAATCATCTTGGGACCAGAAAAAAACTGCAATTCAAGTATGAATATATGCATGAAGGCACCTATAGAATGAGTCACCAGGGCTTCCACACATGGAATGAATCATACGTGCAGATAATAAAAACACCAATGACATGCAAGTTTTCCCACTTCACCCTAGAAAATTTGAATGGAATCCTTCTATGACCATAAACAAAAAAATAAGATTAACTGTGCCATTTGTAAACGCATTGTATTTGTGTGTCATAAGTACTTACATCTCTAGCATCTAATACAAGTGTATAAAACTACTTGCACATAAAAATGTGACAAAATTACCTTTAATGCCTCTAATGACAAAAACCCAAAGTGTGAAAGAAAAAGGCGTGCTGTTTGGAATTCCTGGGCAGGAGGTGGGGGTTTACAGTCAGTAACTGGGTCAGGGAAACTTTTCTTCCGCCACTCCTCTTCACTTTGCTGCTCAATGGATATCTCATAAGTGATCTGCTGGGCCATGCCATTCCTCAATTTTTCATGTCTCTCTTCTAACTGAAATGCATTAAAGACATCATATTTGCATGGTATGACTTTAAAAATAATGTGAAGTCTATATTTAACATAAAATTTAAAACATTTATTAATTCTATAATTAAAATTAAATAAAAAAATTCAAGCAGTAAGTGAAATTCAATGCACAGCATACTACTGAATAGTATTCCAGGATACTGACAAGCACAAGAAATAAACAATAGTTAGGAACTAGTGTCTTACTTCCTCATTTACGATTTCGTGCAAGTCAGGAATGCTCAGATCTGCTTTTACAAAAGGAATTTTGTCCACCTCTTCAGGAAATGGTCGATGCTTCACTGTATATTTAATTCCAACGTCATTTTTAGGAAGTGGACGAGGTTCTGGCACAAAAAGCTGTCAAAATGAAGCAAAGAAATTTATATGGTCTAAGTACCCATTTATAATATATAATGTAATACAGAAACTAAAGTCCTACCTTCTGCAAGAAGCCTTTCCTGATTCCCCCTTAATTCTAGTACTTTCCCTCTGATGACTATTTCCACTTTTTCCTGTATTTAGCTTGTTTGTACATAATTATTTGTACGCTGACTCTTCCATTACACCATGAGTTTCTTGAGAGTAGAGATTGTTTACCCCTTTCAGTCTTGCCCCCCACCAAACTCTTGAAGAAAGAGCTACACAATAATAATAAAAGATTTGGGAAAGGAATGAAGTAATGAAAGCCTTTTATCTCTTAATTAATCTCTTCTTCTTCCCATTACTTGCTGTAACATAAAGCCTGGAGAGATGGTCTTATGCTAGACCAGACACTGGGGTTATGAATTGATGGCTATAATACTAGCACAGGGAGTATAAAACTAGAGAACAGGGACAAGGTTTTCGTCTTCTATGAGAGAAGTTTTAGGAGACAAGGTATTTTTGCCTCTCCTACCATTTTTTTGCTTGAGAGGTTTTTTAAAAAAAAATTATGCTAGGGTTTACATTATCTTATTTGAGCCTCATAGCAAAACTGTGAAACAGGTTAAATATTATTATTCCAATTTCACATATAAGCAAACTAAGCATCAGAAATTAAGTGAATGTGATAAATATATGCTCTTATTTTCTAGGAGAAATCTGGGTTTGATTTATTGGGTCCAACTGTCTAAAACATATTGTCAAGATCAAAAAGATTTTGGTTTTATATGCCTTTTGTTCTACTGAAGAATCCTGAAAAGTAGGTTTAACACTAGGAACAACTTTGGTGCTAAGCTATCAAAAGTTTTTAATAAGTTTTGACACTAAAGCATCAACGAATAATAACAGTATATATTGTCCTATCCTGGAGACATATATATGTGTTATAATAGAAACCAAAGCCTTAATCCCAAATATGAAAATCTTGGCAACATATTTTTGCCAAGTTATTTTGGGTCAAAGGGATTTGTTACTACCCTTTAGGTCATGCCAAACAGACAGTCTTCTGTGGGTATATTTAGACCTCTGGGGAAGTTTTCAGAGTATTAAAGACAGCTGGAATGGTATTAAGCAACAATGCACGTGTCAACAATACAGAGCATGATTCTCTGATGGTACAATCCACACCTGAAATGTCATGGGCATTTCTAGAAGCTGCATTAACTCTAAGAAAACAAAGATATCATTTAGTGACTTGCTTCTTCAGTATTACATAATCATTTAGAGACTTTAAAATGTTGCTACAAGATAGGGAATATGATGAAACTATGGGCTGAATGTAATGTCACCAAGAGAATAGTGGTAGTGTGTCCCATGTGCTGAAAAATTTCTTATTGAAAAAGAAAACAAAGTTCAGGGTGTTCAGCTAGTTTTTAGATAAGCTACTACTCATCTAGGTTTCTTTCAATTTTAAGGAAATTATAGGCTCACAGGACCTTAGAAATTGTCTAATCCAACTCTTTCATTTAGAGGCAGCTGGTGATGCAGTAGATAAAGTGCTGGGCTTGGAGCCAGGAAAACCTGAGTTCAAATTGAGCCTCAAACACTTCCTAGCTATCTGAGCCTGGGAAAGTCACTTAATTCATCTCTGCCTCAGTTTCTGCAACTGTAAAATGCAGATAATGATAGCAGCTACTTCACACGATTGTTGTAAGGATCAAATGAGATAATATTTGTAAAGTACTTAGCATGCCCGGGCACACAGTAGGAACTAAATGAATTCTTCTTCTCCTTACCCTTAACTTTAAGGACAAAGAAAAACTTAAAACTTTAGAGAGGAAAAGTGATTTGCCCAAGATCACATAGCTGGTAAATAGCAGAGCCAGGATTTAAACCCAGGTCCACTAATTTCAAATTCAATGTTCTCTCCCCTGGACCACACTATCTCCTCAACACTGCATACATAGTATTTACAAATACAGCCTGTTATCAAATACAAAAGGTAAGAAAGTAACTTCACATAAGCTGTAAAAAAAATTTTTGTTAGAGAGTTGTATTCCATAAAACTTCAAAAAGAACAACAACAACAACAATAACAACAATAGGATTTTAAACTTTTTTGGAAATTTAGTGATTTTGTTTTTGTGGTAATGCTATTTAATCTGTAAATAAAAATGCACCAACTCTCCCCTCCCTGTTATTGCCCTCTGAGTTTTGACAGATACCTTCTGATTTGCTTTTGCCCCTCTTGGTAAAAGGGAAAGCTGCTGGGCCCAAGCAAGTCTTCCAGACATTCCACGGACCAAAACAGTGACAGATGGAAAAAAATCATCTGTAAGGAGAAGTTCAGAAAAGACAATTTAGAATTCAGATACAATGGCAATTTTTTAAAAATTAAAATCTTTAATTAACTATAGAAATAAACCAAATATTCTATCTTCCTACAATTTATGATTCTCAATAATCAGTCATGCCAAAGTAAGTATTTATCAACAACCAATATCACCCAATTTTCTTATCACTTCAAGGTAAAAATACTAATTCACTTCTGATCCACAGATAAGTTGTGTTATCTCCATTCAGTGCACACTGAATCCTTCTCTTGCGTAATTGTCCAGTCTTGTGATCCTAGAACATTTTGGATTTGTCTTTTTACCATTTATTCCCTATCAAAATCTCTTCCAAGTAAAGTAAGGTTTTTAATAACTGTTAGGTTTTTAGTAAATGAACTGATACCAAAACATTTATAATATTGATTAATTTAATTCACAATGACTGATAACGGCTAAATATGCTCTCCTACCCTGTAGATCAGGCCTGCACAACTTGTGCCAGCCTGCACAATCTGTGGCCCTCAGGCCACTTACAGCCCTCTGGCTGCTTGCAGGATGCCAAAAGAGTTCGGGTGGCTTGCAGAAAAAAGTAGAAGAAAACATCCTTTGTATGTAGAGGAAATCCTTTGGCTTGCTGCAAGTGCCCAAGCTGTAGGTGGCTTCTGGGCAGCAGGCTGTGCAGGCGTGCTGTAGATCCATCACCATCTACACAGTGCTCAATGGCATCACTGATCTAATCTTTCCTCACTGATCTTCTAATATCCTAATAGGCTCTTGTTATCAGTGAATAGAAGGAAGAAGTTGATACAGAAGATACACCGAGAGATTTGGATTATTGTTCAGATCATGTGACTAAACAAACTTGTTGGGGAGTTGGCTCAGAACTGAATAAAATGGAGGAGTTGCATGATGGCTAGTTTAAGAAATTTTAATTTACTTAAGGATAAAGCTCTGACTCCTCATGGAAAAATTATGGGAGATCAGTTTTAAAGGAAGGAAAGGACATGATCTGGCAGATCAATAAAGAACTTGTAAATTCTTTATTTCCTCTCAGTATTCTTCAGTACACGATCTCTGGACAGACTGCCAGCAGGTCTTACAAAGATTCAAAGGGATCCAAAATGAACAGTCTGCTTGTTAGTGGAATGATGCCTTTACTCTCTATCTTCCTACCATGACTTCAGTGTTTTCTGCTATACCATAATACCTCAACTGTTCTATTTGGCAAGCTGCTAGTGGTATCTGTCAAAAACTTGCCCAAAGTCCACATTCTTCTGACCAGCACCTTTCTCTTGTACCAGGACTCTTCTGTAATATCTTTAGGACCTACACTCACATTTCCCTAAATAATCCTTCCAAAGGCAGAATACCTTAAAAATCCCCATTAAGGAAGTCTTATAAATTCAGTATAAAAGCCACTTACTCTGTTCATTCCCTAGGGGTTGCTCCAGCATTGCAAGGATGACACTATTATCCAGGACAAAGTATCGAAAACTGTGTCTGTTTACAGTAGGCAGCCTGGAACATTTTATCAAAGTAGTTTCATTCACCAGGCTACAAGAAGATGCAGGACCACTGGGTGAAGGGAATGCACCAAGTAACTGCATGATGCTGCAGGGTACAGAAGACAGTTCAGTTAACAATTTCCAAAAGCATGAACCTTTAGCCTACTTTAGTCATCAGTATCGGTATACTATTTCCATGTAGTCATTCTTAGATCTCACTTTAATTAGCTCCTTAACATCATTTACCCTGAACTTCTGCAGTTCTTGTTAGCACTTTTCATGACTTCTATACTGCACCTTGAATTATAGTTATTTGTATATGCATTTTATTCTGTATTAGGCTATAAATAACTTCAGGGAAGGGACCACAGTTTACTTTCTATTCCTTATAGCACTTAGCATAGTCACCTGTGCATATTAGGATTTGAATAACTATCTGTTAACACAGAATTATCTATGCCACATAATTTGGCACTTGATCATATATTGTTTTACATGAGTCTATGTTTATTTTGTGTAAGCATTATTTCCCTAGAGACTGAATTTCTGGAAAGCAGAAATTAAATCAGTTTCCTTGTTACTCCACTCATTGCATAGTAGCACTGAGGTACAGAAAAAAAATAACTTGATGATTGATATAAACTTGCAATGTCAAGTTCAAGAGAAGCATAGAATAGGAAGAACGCTGGACTAGAGAGACATCATGAGACCCAAGCTTTTGCGTCCATTCTACCACTTATTTAGCAAATTGCTAAACTTCTCTTGGCCTCAGTTTCCTCCTCTATAAAATAAAACAGGTTGGTCTAAGTGGTCTCCAGGGTCCCTTCCACACATCTAAAAATCTATGATTCTAATAAACTTTCCTTTATTATTAGATTCTCAATAGTTAATTCAATTACAACATTTATTCAGTGTGAAGGCTTATTTTTGCTGAGCTTTCACCTAAGTTTAACTAGCTCCTTTTATCTACTATAATAGTTAGTTTTAAGGAGATTGATCAGCAAAGAACTGGAAAATCAATGTATCTGTCAGCCTCTGAATTTTTCATTTCTTAGTTCAATAGCACATGGCATACACCTTGCAAGGTAGAAATAAATCTTGCTTATTTTCAAGTTGGAGAATACAAAGCATACAACAGTTAGCTACATCATACAATGTTTCACAACCAGTGAGAGGATGAGAGAATTTACGACTATCAAACTATTAGATCATAATCCCTAACTAACAGCTTCCATACCATGTAAGGGTAGCTTCAGCTGCATCCTTTACCCTCATAGATGCAGGATTTGGCTCCTTATCTCCTTTGTATTTGATCTCTTGTTCACTACTCCTGGACTTGCTTCCTGAGATACCCAATTCCACAATCTCTAGTACCTCTTTTAAGCAATCCTAAAGGTGAAGAAAGAAGATTTATTAAATTCTTCATGAAAAATGAAATGTGAATGTTCCTTTTTCTTAGATGGTCAGAGAATGCATGATTACTGAAAAAAAATTCAATTCAATTATGATGTTTTGTGACTATGTAGAGTTTTAGGGTGAGGGTAGAGGATGAGTAAAGGCAGAAAATATTTTATATAGATATATTTGTATAAACCTTCTTTTAAAATACTGTGGCTGTCATACAAATCTGTTCTAACATTTCTTAACTATGAAGTTGTGAGGGGCATACCAAAAATTCTGCTAGTAATGGATAGTTAAGACAATGATAAGGTATTGAAAGAGAAGCTTAAATTATTCCTGACATGTACAAGCCATTTCTTGCATCTTTACTTTGGAGAATGCATGGAAAAAATGGAAATATTTTCTATTATGCCACTTTCTTTTTGTAAAATGCTTAAAAAATCTTTAAAGAGAAAGAATTCTAAAAGTTCTACTATTAAACCAACATGTGTTTCCCCTTTTACACTGTATAATAACAAGGTGGCTGCCCTCTACAGGGCATTAGATTAGTTCTTCTTCCCTTTAAAAAAAAAGAAGGAATCACATCACCATACCAAAATGTTCAGATGCTAGCTTAATGCTTCTCTATTCATTTGTCACTGATTTTATAACCTAGGCAGCAATTCACCTTATTTAAATGATTTGTCATTGATACAGACTACTGGCTAATATAACAGGAGGTTTCCATCTTTCTGAAATAAACTTTAGAGCTTTTCATGAACTGAGAGCAAATTTAACCAAGGTTTCATATATCAACATATTAACATAGCCTCATTAATTAAAACATTTCCTTGTCCCAACTAATTACAGGCTACACTGTACCTGGCAAGTGTACCAAGCAGGATTAGAGTCACATTGATGGCCAATAAATACTTAAGTACAGCAATTTTTAAAACAGAATGTCATATTTTAATTAAAGGATTTCTCCTGCTTAACATGCACCCAGAGCTAGTGCTCTCACCTTTTCATCAAGCATGTCAGGATGTTCTGTCAGCCAAACACAAAGACACTGAAAAGCTGCAACAATCATGGAGTGGAGATCTCTGGAGTGGAGCGGGGCTGGCCGACTACACTGGTACACAATGTAGCCACACACTGAACTGATGGCTCTCTTTTGGTCTGCTGAGTCGACTGTCACCTTCACCTAAGGATATTTAGGTTAGGAAGGTAATAATTAGTTGATATCACTTTCACATCTATGACAACTAGCATGTATTGAGTATCAATTAAATATGCAAGGCACTATAGAATACCTTGTTTTTCTACATATATAAGGTGGAGAAAAGTCTGAGATATCACTAAAAATATATATATACTAGAAGTGGTGGTAATACACTTCACAAATGTCAGGCTATAAAACATCTTTCAGAATTTTCAGGTCCCTAAAATGTCATCTCCTTGTGTCTAAAAGTGAAGGAGTAGCCACAAATTCAATCTGCCATGTCTTTGTTTTAAGACACTCTTCCGTGGACTTCTGAGGTCTATGGACAGTTTAAAAATCTCCAGTACGGATGCATCCATGTGTCAAGTCTCACTGCACAGCCACCCTGACTAAAACAGAGATGTCAAACTGGAGATATTAATTAACCAAATTAAAATATACAGTAATCAGGAGATGTTGAACAAAATTTAAAATACAATACAACAGATAATGTTAATGTAAAGTTTTCTAAGTTAATATGTGGCTGTAGAGATCTGTTTCTATTTGAGTTTGACACCACTATTGCAGAGAACAAAATTCCTTAGCTTGGAATTTAAAGCTCTGTGAAATGTGGTTTGAGCAAACCTTTCCAGATTTCTCTCATTTTTCCTCTTCACTTGCTGTATACTCTGGCCAAACTAGTTCAGCATGTACTCCTCCATCTCTGCCTAGTGAACTATTTCTCTTCTTTCAAGGCCCAGCTCAGGTGCTATACCTTCTCCATGATGACTTCCCTGATTGCCTGAACTAGAAGTAATCTTCCCTCCTTGTATCTGTCATTCTACTATGTCCTTTCTTGTGCAAATCATATTCTAACTTGTAATAAATTTTGATGTGTTGTGGTGTGGAAGTGACTCTATACTCTCAAATGCTATACCAGCAGAGAGTAAACTGGCACGACCACAATTTAGAAAGGTTTAGTGTGAAGGACTATTGTCAGAGCTTATGTCTGCTGTCCTAGGAACTACCTAGCTAAATCTGGAGAGGTACATCATCAAATCTCTTGAAAGTTGATGAATTTCTAGGCCACAGAAATCCTGGAAGATTATTTACTAATTTATAGAGTGCTTACCATCAGTGGGGCAGCAATGTGTCTGGCCTAACAGTTAGGAGGACTAACATTCCTGAGTTCAAATATGGCCACAGACACTCACTAGCTGTGTGACCCTAAACAAGTAACTTAACCCTGTTTGCCTCAGTTTCCTCATCTGTAAAATGAGCTAGAGAAGGAAATGGCAAACCACTCTAGTATCTTTACCAAGAAAACCCAAATGGGGTCAGAGTTGGACAAGACTGAAATGACACAACAACAAATACCATCTGAAATGACAAAATATCCACACTGATAAAATTATATATTCTTGAAGATTTTCAATGTCATTTTTGGGGAATATATTTCATACTTCCTACTAGATTATTAGCTCCTTAAAAATGAAGATCATGTCATTTTTCAACTTGCTATTCTCAGATTCAACCACAGTACCTAACACACAACTAGGTATATAAAAGCCATTACCTGAATTAAATTTGATGAGTGTTCTCTATGTATGCATATATACATATATAAATATATGTACGCCATCTTATTGTTTTCATTGGTTCTAATGTAAGAAACATATTATAGGTCCCCTTTCATAGAACTTTGTTTTTAGGTTTGTTTTAATTTACAGTTCATGTAAAAATACAGCCAACTCTTGATCATCCATATTATTACGTAACAGATAAAACATAACTATACTAAGCTAAAACTACACACAGTCTTTCCTCACCTTTGCCAGTCCAGAAAGAAGCTCTAACGCAGCCAATGATATACTCATGTCCTGACGCCACTGAGAATTGAGTCTTTGGGTTACAAGGTGAATGCTGCGAATCAGGAGGCCGGCAGCTGTATCTGTATTAAGAGCTAGGATATAACCCCAATGCCACATACCACAGGGAGGGAAAACAACTAAGCATTAGTAACAATAAGCAAAGCATTCCCTTAGGCACAAACCAAAGCAGCCACAATAAGCACCTGGACAATGAATTTAGCAATTTACATGTAGGCTGATTAATCAGCATACCACACTAACATGTTATTTATTTGAATCTGAGCAGCTTCTAACATCAAAGCAGAATTCTATCAAGTTGATCTAAGTGGAATTTTGATAGTTAAACATTCTTTAGAAAAACTTTGAACCTTTAAATATTATTAGCTAACAGGTCTTCGTTCCATTTTTAAAAAGCATAATGAAAATTGTTATAGGCTTCTCAAGCAAAAATTTTTTTGATTTTTTTGTGTACTGAAGTATGGAGTCTAAGTTTTTAGTGCATCCATATATGGTGGAGATCACCCTTGGCAGCTATTACCCACTGCCTTTAAGGTTTAACCCTCACAGAAAATATTACATGCAATAGCTAATTTTAAAAATTTTACTATCCAGAACTCTATTCCTGAATGTAAAAAAAATTAACATTCCCAACCCCCTGTGTTTTATTTGGCTGCCAATTCTAAAAGTAAAAGAAAGTGCTATTTTGGTAATGCAAAATTAGGAGACTATGAAACTTGTGGGACATTATACCTGTCAATCCTATTGGGAAGAGGGCAGTGACAACAGAAAAAGGAATGGTCATTAAAAAGAGAGACATATATGCAGCACACTAACACAAATCTGGATTTCTTAGCGAAACTTTTTGCAACATTACAAGCAGAACTTACTAACAGTTCATCAAAATGCTGAAACAGACTAGTCACTTCACACATGCCTATTGGGACACATACAGCAAAAAAAAACTGCTTCAATATCAAAATCATATTTATATTCTCTTAAACATTACCTTACTGATTTCTAGGGTATACAGAACCCATATATATATATATATATATATATACATAAATACACACAATGAATAGTGTAAGAAATATTTTAAAGAACACATATTAGTGAATTCAATAATTAATCAAATGTGCATTTGAATAACTCATAATAAAGATTTTACACATGGCATATCCAAGGTCAGTTTATTGGGAAATGAGTTTAGGTGAGAAACACATTTAGTTTAATTCAAAATAAACAGATGCTAAACTCACACATAAGTAAACAATTCAACCTTGGATTAATGTCTACTTTGTAAATACAATGTCTTTCTACATAAAATACCTAAAGGCACACAAAGTTACAAAACCCATCAAAAACAATACTCTGAAGTCAAAATACTTAGTAAAATGCTTTGTTGAGCAGGTGACTGGCAAGTGTCATTTATATTAATCAATGAAATAATGTCCTAATCTCATACTGTAGTACATAAGTGGTTTTAAACATGAGGGTGTTTTCAGAGTGGTACAGTAATTGAAAGAAATATAAGTGATATGAAATGAATATAAAACAACGTAGCTGAATTCAAAATACCTTAGTCTTTTTTAGCCCTGATTAACATCTAGAGAAGGACTAGTAGTGTTCTCCCAGTCATTTTCAAATACGTAAAAATTAGTCAAAAATTTACTAAATAAAATTTCCCAAAACAATGTTATTCTTAGACTGCTTTAAAATTTCAAAGAAATATACAACTTACCATAATCTCTTAGAAGAGCCTGGGCAGGTCTTTCACTGTCTGGGGTTGTAGGTTCTGTGCTTCCTCCACTTGCTGAACTAATGCCACTGTTAGTACGACTATGACTTTTCAGGTTTTCTTCACCATTCTAGCCAAATTGAAGATGATTTAAATACAGAAATACCACAACCATTGACATTTGGGGGTAATGAAATGCAATATGTGAATAAGCAAGAAAACTCAATATCAGAAAAACATAATCTACATAGGTAGGCTATTTTTATTAATGACAGGAACAAAAAGCTGCTTGCCAATATAGTAGACCTCATTTACCTTATTTATAGATTCATATATTGGGAGCAAGGAGTGGAGACGGAAGAAAGCAGGGCAGGACTGACTCTTAACAGCCCTTTCCTGTTTTTATCAAGGTGGTGCCATGGAAATTATACCAGATATACATCTAGAGATTCTAGGTTTCAAATGCTGGCTCTGTCATTGATTAGCTGGTATGACGTAGGTGAGTCAGGATTTCTCTGTATCTCCCTTTCCCCAAGAGTACAATGACTTGATACAATCTGAGGTCCGGGTCTAAATCAATGATTCAGTCTGAGAAAGAGGTTTTTTTTTTAACTATCAGTCTCCCCAACAAAGCTCCTAAATAACAAATGAACAGAGATATATCACCAATGATAAACACCAGAACACCAGTGTTTTCATGACCAAGATCAGCTTCTGGACTGGTGGTAGTGAAGGGATATGTTATGAAGGACATTTCATTTATAAAGAATTTACAGTAATTAGCTCAGCAAAACAATGTCACAGTAAGCCATTACTTAGGTCATAAAAATAGCCACCTTGAAAGGCATCACATTTTCTAATGGCCGACTTTAAAACAGAAGTAAAAAAGTAAGCCTCTATTTAACCAATGAAAAAGTTCTCAAAGGTCCAAATGTGTCTTAAAAATCACAATAGAACACACTTTATGAAGTAACTTAAATTCTTTGACAAAATTCCAGGCAGAAAGGTAAATGCTTCTTACCATTTCCATCTGACAGCCAATGGCTTCTAAAAGTGCTGAATCTTGAACAATATTTAACATTGCACCTATAACAAAGTAAGAAAGTATTTTATGTAGGATACATAGCAAGAGTTTTTTAATATCAAAATGGATAAAGTATCACTTAGGAAAACTGAGAAGGACCTGTGACAGACACATGAATTTTGTTTTTTGCTGAGGATTATGAAAACTATTTCTTAAAAACTAAGAATTTGATTGACTGTTTAAGAAAAACTGGGAAAGGCATAAAATCAAAGAGCAAGAATAGTACATGTATTTTCTAAGTCACTGAAAATAAAAGGAATTTCACGGTTTAAGTTTTATTTTATTTAAGATTAACAAAATAAATATTAGGCTCAAAAATATTAGGGCACTGTATGATTTTTAAGGTCAAATGCAATGAAGTTATTTTTAAAAGAGAATTTAGCACTACCTTTAAACATTTCAATAATGCAAAAAAAACTGGGGACAAAATGCCACCAGAGACCCAATACTTTAATAAGTGACTTAAGTCACTCTATCTTATTTCTTCATGTATGTCTGAAGCTCAGGTTTGGGGCACAGGTCTTCCTCAATCTTAATATGGACTTTGAGTGCAGTATTCTTTCTACCATACCACACTGACCCATATTACTTGAAAGGCTGTTAAGCAGAAAAGGGATTAGACTTATTCTCTATGGCTTTAGATAGTAAGCCACAGAAAGGCTCATTTTAGCCTTCTACAATGAAATAAGTAGCCTCATAAAGTAGTGAATTCCCCATCACCGAAGGTATTCATGCTAAGGCCAAGTAACTATAATAGGGATAATGTAAATGGACGTTGTAGGGGAAAAATGTTTGGACTAATTTAATCTCTAAGGTTCCAATTCTAACAGTCCTATGTTTTCATGAATTCCTAAATAATACCAACAGCAAGACTGAAAGCAGCTACTAAAACTGGGTGGGTATGTGAGGTGGGAGAAGGAATAGAGGCTATAAATTTACTGTTAACAATGCTACAAGAGCGAGAGGCCAGAAAGAAAACATAGCTAGCACTCAACTTTAAAACAACTTCTGGAGACATATGTACCCATCCTTACAAAAGCAAGGGTCTGAATGGTATGCAACTCTAGGGGTGAGTTGAAGCCATTTGGGGTGAGTTACCCTTTCCCCTTGGCCTCAGGGCTAACTACTGGACTACAGGCAAGAGCAATGAAGAAATGTTGACAGCTAGAGGGGAACAGAAACAATGTTCTGAAGCAATCTTTATATTACAAAGGTAAAAAAGCACAGAGGGAGAAAAAAAGAAAATTGACCAAGAAAATATTCCAAAGCATGCCAGAATGAATAGGAGCACAAGGGTCATATGAAGAGAAGTTCCCCCTCCCTTCTCTGCCTACTATTCCTTTTTAAAGCTCCTCATCTATTTTTGTCGTTGGCACTTGAAGTCTCCTATATTCTAAATCTTGGCACTCTCTGACTCTTACATTTATTTCTATCACATCCCCAAAGTCCCATCAATTCTACCTCATTAATATCTCTAAATTCTGTCCCCTCTTTTCCAGTTCCACTGTCATACTGTGCTAAGAAGCCTTCATTATTACCCACTTGGACCATTACCATAGCCTCCTTACAGATCTTTCTATTCTTGCTCACTCCTAAACAAATCCATTTCACATGCTACTGCCAGAATAGTCTTTTTTTTTTTCCATGACTCAATCTGGACACGTTACACTTTGGTTTAAAACCTTATTGCCTACCAAGTAAATTTCCAATTCCTTAGTCTTATATTTGAGGCCCTCCACAATTTTGCTACCACTCAGTCTTTCCAATCCTGTTCTCCAAGCATACTTCCCTCCCCAACTGTATTCTATGTTCTAGCCAGATTACAAAATCTGTCTCCTTGAATTTTCCCAGCTGCACCTTTGTTCACATTATTCCCTGTACCAGAATATCCTCCCTTTCCCTCTTTGCCTGTTGAAACCTATCTATCTTTTAGAGCACTCTCCCAACATCAACGGGCTTCCCTTCCTTGGATCCAAATGCTTTTTGTACCTCTCTTACACAAATAACAGATAGATAGTAAGATAGTAAGTATATACGCATATTTCCTCTACTAGACTGTAAGCTTTGGAGAGGACGGACACCACGTCTGACTTTTCTAAACTTTTTCTTTCTTCTGGCACAGTACTATGAACATTTTTGGTGGGTGTAGTGCTGGAATTTAGTAGTCACAGTGTGGAAATTTGTTCCACCTATGAAAATTAGCAATTTATCTTAAATTTATAGTTTTAAGAGAAGGTACCCAACAAGGTTAAATGTTGTCACATAGTGTCACAACTGGTATTTATCAGAGGTAGGACTTAAAGTCAGGTCTTTCTAACTCCAAAGCCAACTCTCTAGCCGCAATGCAACCCTCCCTCACACTCTGAATATAGTCAATGTTTAATAAAACTTTGTAGAATTAAAATTCACATAAAAATCAAATCTTCCAGTTTAAGTCTTACCACCTGCCCTAAGTATAGGATCAGTGTAACTACTACTGTCATTCAGCTTATGTCACATCAGCCAGCCTTGCCTTGCCTTTATGACATGCCCATGGTCAGTACTGCCTGAGATTTTAACTTATATAAGAAGTATGAACACAAACCTAATATCATCTGAGTGTTGTTGGGGTCCGTTTCAGTTTGCAAGGCACCTATTAGTATATTCACAAGCCTCAATTTCAGTGACAGAAAAGTTATTGGTTTATCATATGAAGAGCTGTCGTCATTACTAAACTTTCCTTCCAGAACCACCTAGAGAAAAAATAAATAACATTGAACATTAACTATCCTGAATAATGAACTCAAGCAACAGAGCTGCTCTAGAGGGAGAAGAAAGGATCTGCCTGCAACCATGGCTTCCAATCTTATCACTTCCAGCCTCTTTGCCCTCTTCTGGGGCATGAAAACATGAGTTATCTATGTCTTATCAAAAGAGTAAATGTTCAGTTAAGCTGTGGTGGCAGTCTGAGAAAAGAGAATACCACCCTCAAATCATTAGGTCATCACTGACACTTGGAATACAGAGGAAAAAAAAATTTCCATTCACATTTTAAAAAACTACTTAGACCTGAATTGGCACACAAGAAAGAGGACAGAAGGAACTCAAAATATTACCTCAGATTTGACATTGCCAAAATGATGAGGGAGTGGTAACAAGGAAAGTAGAATATTAATAGAGGCTCTTCTTAACTCGGTTGGGTTTACGTAGGTTTTGAATTTTGAGAGTTCCCTGCAAATGGATAAAATAGTAAACAGCTTAGAAGATGAGCAGAAAGAAGTTCAGAGGTGACAAAAAGAAGTAGGGCAGTGCTGGAACTACCATGTTAAACATACAATATACTTTAAAAAACAAAATAAGTTGTGCATAGTAAAGATTCATGGTTTCACAAACAATCTTTTTTTCTGTTCTTTGTATTGGGAAATATTAATGTTAGTTGATATTTGTCAGGTTGTTAATAGGTAAAAAAAAATTAAAAGAAAAAATAAACAAATGGCTCACAGTAATTCTGAAACGAATAGCACCTACCAGGGTCGTTGTAAGGATTAAATGGGATAATATTTGTAAAGCACTTAGCACAGTGCCTGGCATTTAACAGGTGCTTATTAAATGCTTCTTTCCTTCCTTCCTTTGCTTTACAATTCTATTTTCTATCTCATAAGTGTCTACTTTCACTGAGGTTGGGATTGTTTTGTGAATTCCTAAGCCTAGTAACTGTTAAACTATACTACAATGTTTTTATTTGAAAAAACTTAGAGGTGAAGACTTTTCCTAAGTATGGTATATTAAAAGCCCAAGATTGAGAGTAAGAGTTGAAAGACACCTTAGAACTCCCAACATTTGTACAGATGAGAAAAATTGAGACTATAAGGCTCCATGACATACCCAGTATCATAATAAGTAGCAGTACTGGGACACAAACTTAGGGCCTTTGACTCCAAATTTGGTGACCTCTATACTCCATCACATTGTTCTGTCATCTGCAGACCTGACCTAACTTTCTCCCACATCTTCAGGACGAGCCCAAACTGATTTAACAATTCACTGACAACAGAAAGAGAGAATATCAGACTCAGTTGACAAGCTGATTTTGCTGAGTTGCCTTTTTTCTTTTTTGTTATAAAGGATCGCCAAGGGAGAGAAGGGGAGGAGGCATACATTTGGAAATGAAAATGATGTAAAAACAAAAAGGATATTAAAAAACCAGCAGGAAAGGACTTCAAGCACAGAATAGATTTAGGCAACTGACAGCCTTCAGATGGGATTGGAGTCTTTTCAGTTACTGAGTGCCTTGGCAGGTGAGTCAGGTCAGACAATCAGGCAGTGAAAAGGGCATGCACAGTGGCAAAATCTAACTGAAAAAGAAGCTACTTGCTAAAACAATGTACAAAGTGTGACTTACCTATCAGGCAATATGGTTTCAAGAGCTGAAATAAAGTAAGGAACCACAACATCAATCCCTTTCAGATCACAGCAGAATAAATGAGGTGAGTTTAGAATAATGCTGGCCAAGACAGGGTGGCATACATAATCAGTTATCTGCAAACCTTGAATTAAAAGCATGTAAAATCTAGAAAAGTAAGAGAAAGATTTTAAATATATGAAGCTACAACCTTCCATTCATCATTATCAGATAATATTAATTTTCAGCAGTCAATCAGAAGTACATTCCTACCTTTTAGTATATCCATCTTTAAAAGATATTTTCCCTATAGCAAAAGCTTCCATTTAAAACCACAAAGTGACAAGCCAGTTAGTTATCTGTTTTTAATGAATATAAAGTACTGGCTGACCCTTTCCCACAGGGCTTCTCCACAGTTAAGTTTTACCAAAGTCCAAAGGATCAAAAAGCAGTTCCAATGACTGTCAATAAACTTAACAGTTCTATACAACACCCTATTTTTGATGAATATGTCGCAGAATTTTCAGCACTCTGTAAGCATTTATCTTAGCATTATTTTAATGAGAAGATGTATTTGCTTTTTTTTTTTCATATTTAAAGGACAAATGGGGAAACACTTCCATTTAACCCTATATTCCTATTTTCGGAAGAAAAGGAAAAGTTACAAGATATTACAGATGAGGGTTTCCTAACCTGTAGGGTCCACCAACCCCAAAGAGTCTATGAATTTGGATGAGAAAAAAAAATTACATCTTTACTTTACTAACCTCTAACAGAAATTTAGCATTTCCTTCAATTACTTTAAAACATTCTGAGAAAAGGGTCCAGAAGTTTCACCATACTGCCAAAGGCATGCATGACACAAAAATGGTTAACAACCCTTCTTAGGGAAAAAACAGAGCTGAAATAGGCTATTTAAACAGCTTCTTGTTTGCATATAAAACCTGCTACTAGACATGTGAGATTATGCTGGTCCCTAAGGGGTTCCCATCTCATCAGTGCCGGGGTTTCTTAGATTGCACCTAAAAGCATCTTCTCTTTTTGCTCCTTTGTACTAATTCACCTAGCATTCTTCTTTCAAACATTCTAATACTAGTAACTAAAATTATATTTTCTCCATGAAGACACTTCTGAATGACTAGAAGAATAATTTCTTCTTTGCCTCACCATGCTTAAACAAAACTCATGTGACTCTATTTTAAGATCTGTGATCCATCAGTGTTGGTATTCCCTTTACTAACTAATTTACAATCCTGTAAGCATTAGAAGATGGCCATGGAATCACACAATCTCAGAGCTAGATGAGATCTCTGGAGCCATTTAGTCTAACTGGTACTTGAACCAGAATTCCTTATACAATAAACCTGGCAAGTGGTCCTCCAGCCTTTGCTGCCTTCTAAGCTAGTACCATGTCCCTTGTGGAGAGCCTTAATTCTATAAAGGGTCAAAACCATGCTTGTTAAAATGTCTATGCATGGCTCCCAATTCACCCTCTGAGGCTAAGCAAAATCATCTCATTCCCTTTCCATGTGACAGCCCTTCAAATATTTAAAAGGCAGCCATCATGTCCCTACCTTTTACCAAATCTTTTCCAAGCAAAAAATCTCAACTTCTTTGGATTTGGCTAAAATGTCTAGTGTTTTTCACATGGCATAATCTCAAAGTCTTTCACTATTCTAAGTGCTACTCTCCTCTGGATGTGGCTCTCCGGCTTACCAATATCCCCTTAAAATGTGTCACCTAGAATTAAAAATAATACTCTAGATGTGGTCAGAACCGGACAGTGACAGGACTATCATTTCCCCTGCTGTAGATATTACGCCTCTAGATTCAGCCCAAGATCACATTAGTGTTTTGTTTTGTTTTTTTTCTGGCTACCACGACATACTGTTAACTTATACTGAGCTATGAGAATTGATGGATGGGAAGATTCTTTCCGATTAATCTAGCATAGTCTTCAAGTGACAGATATAGCCCATCAGTGGGCCCATACATGAAGCTTTTCAAGCTTGTAGTCTGTTAGTACAGTCTTTGAAAACCCAGGGTCACCTCCATGCCAAAATTAAGGTTTGGTAGATTTTAATAGATGCATTTAATCCTCTGCTGTTACAGAATGAAAACACTATGTCATGCAGTAGCTTTGAAATTTTTCTTTATCTGTCTTGGTTCATCTTATAAATTTCCCCTAAACAAACCAAAAAATGAACTATTCCAATAATTCACTTTATAACATGCATAACCTAATACCACACATACGAAGGTACTCTAATGCATCTGATGATGATGATGATGATAATCATGATCATACCAAGAATCATACTAGGGTAAGTTTCCTTTTGGAAGGTCTAAAGCAGGTTAGGATCCAGGAAACTCTAGGAAACTTGCACCCGAGTGCAAGAACTATGTCTGATTTATCTTTATGTGCCCTCCACAACTAGCACAGTGAAATGCACACAGCAGGCTTTTAATAAATATTAAAAGAATGAATAAGGGCTTTAGAAAATGACATAAGCCCAGGTGGAAAGCAGTAAGACCTGGTGGTAATAAGGGAAGGAAGATGAGCTAAGTGAAGGGCAAATAATAATGATTAAGTTCTGTTGACTTAAGTCAAAATGGAAGAAGGCTGGAGACGCACAATTACATGGCATGTACTTATATTCAATTACACTGTAAAGAACAGATATGGGGACATTCAGACGTATATACATACTAGCTTCTCTCAGAACTTAGTCCTTTCTCCACGGGAGATAAGGAATGAGGGATAAGACGCTGTTCTGCAATATAGTATCAATATCTGGAATGTCATATGTTCAAAGGTTCTCTGTAAAGTACTGAACAGCAGCTGTTCAGGAAGAGAAACAAGTTTCCACTAATCACATCTAAAAATAAGAATACCCATCTCAAAGGACCAGGTACCTCAATCTGGAAGAAACCACATGCTCTCTGGTAAATAAGTGCTCCTAAGGAATTCTAAAGGAAAGAGTAATTGTTGCTATGAAGGCCCAAGAAAAGAAATATCCCAATTATTTGGAGGCCTTTACAAGTATTTTGGATCACTGTCTATTTGTTTGTTCAATCTACTGAATCATAATACATTTCTTTTTTATAACTCAAGCTGTAGTAATAGAAAAACTAGAATAAAGTCTTAGACCTGGATAAATAAGCTGGCAGAATCTCTTCTCCAGTCTTCTTGCTACAAAAAATCCTACATAGTGTCCCACAAGCCTCAGCTCTTCCTGCTTCATAGTTATCAGGAAATTCACTTGCATCAAACATGAGATTGGAAGCCATGGTGTCTGTGGACATTTGTGACCCTTTCCGGCGAAACTCCACACTAGCTTGTGTCGTTAAAGCTGAGGAGAGAAAAGGGAGGGCTTTATTGTATTAGTCAATATGCCAAATAGGCTCATGGGATCCTGGACACAAAGATCCAATTTGGTAATTATTTTAAAAACTGCTTAAATAGGATCCAATAATGCTTCTGTTTAGCAACTATTTATAAATTTAAGAATGAAGGGCTATTTGAATTCTTCTCTAAGAATGGACAATAGTTAAATCAGAGTGGCACTACAGATTTTAATAAACACTACAAGAAGCATTTTTCAACTGGAACATATTTAGTCCACTTAAAATTATGCATATATCTATACATGTGTATAGATATATGATGCAAAATAGAGCATTTTTATTTCTTAGTTTCCATTTCTTTTCCTATAGAAGTTTTTCAAGCGACGGAGAAAATTAGCCAGTAAAACTTGTTATTTTCCTACTAGCAGTCTTCAATGTAAGAATCCATACAGGCTACAGTAGGACAGTACTGGTGGTGGGAGAGGAATAAAATTCTCACCTGACTATAAAGCATAAACCAAATATTCTCCCAACCAAGCAAAATGAATATGAATTTCAACCATCACAGGTAAAAACTAAATCTAAGTTGAGGCTAGGGTATAAAAAAGAAGTTGGATATATAAATAGACAACGAGAGAGATATTATCATGCTCACTGTTGTAGGGGGCAGGGAGGAAGGAAGGAGGTCACTGAAACAGAAGCCCTTTGAAAGTTGCTTTTATTTTTAACAAAAAAAATCTGATTTAATATTATATTAAAATCATTACAAAATGTCTTTTTTAGATCTTTAAAAAATAGTATAAATTATTTGGCATATGAGATATTTAATGGAATATGTAAGCAAAGCATAAATCTTTATGCAACTTCCCATGAGCCATTTTGGTCCTGAATAAGCTATTTAGCATAATATACTTAGAAAACACTACATGCAGAATGCATACAAATCAAAACACTAGGTCTGTAAAAATAAGCTTAAAGCTTAAAAAAAACAAAAAAGCCAAAACACAGTTAGTGCAAAGTCCTGGAATTCATGACATGACCAGACTAGTGTACAGAAATAATGGGACTGATTCAGGCAGATTAATTTTTGCTTTTGCCAACAATCTTCCCCATTCAAAACACAAAAATTATTTTCCTTCCCAAATGCAAAAGCTACAAGAGACAATGACAATGACAACCAAATTAAAAATGGAATTATGAACAAAATAAAAAACATGATTGCAATTAAGGAAAAGCTACTGGTTCCTACTTACAAGATTTATAAGAAAGAAGAATTTGGATAAAAGATGCTGCAAGATAATAGAAATAAATGGAAACAAATCAAAGGACAGCAGTAGTTATAAAATACTTTAAAGATGGTGAAATTTTATTATAGTTAAGAAGCTTTCAGCTTTTTAAAAAATTAGATTAAAAGCTTTATGATATAGCAAGCTAGTTCAAACACATAGGAAACTGGCATTCAGGTCCAAAATTATGATTTTGTATCATGCAAAACAATGAACGAAGAAAATTATACAATTACAAATAGTTGAGGCTTTGATCTGCTCGTATCAACGTGCATTAAAATTTTAATTCATTAACCCTTCCCAGCTCAATGTCACTTTTATGAAATATAGTATGCTATAATTTTAATCTCAAACTAATAGGTCAAAGGAACAGGCATTTTAAAGCTGAGGTGAGCTGTGTAGCAAAATCCTTTTATGATCAGCTAGTACTTGCGAAATGGATGAAAATGGTGGTTCCTGGAGACCAATTTCCTATTCTATCTCCAAACTCTGAGTAGCTTTTGATTTCTTTACCTACTTACAATACCTCAATTATTTTACAGTCTTCACTATACTCTGGCAATCCTGTCTAAAGCATGTAAAAGAAAAGTTGTCCTGAAGTTCTTTAGTGAAGAATGAAAGCTGGTCTCACTCTTTCATGAAAAAACCATGACTAGAATGAAAAAGTTGTGCTAAACACACATCTAATTCTGGTTTTAGCACAAATGTCTTCTGGTAAAAGATTATCATTAGTACAGATCCACCGGAACAAGCTATTTAGAGACTAAAAAGACTCACAAGAACCCTACACCACAGAGAAATGAAGTCGAGATCCTCTGAGATTGTGGAATCTAGTGCCAACAGTAAAGAATGTTTGAAATCAACTTTTGGAAAAAAAGAAAAACAAAAATATGCTTTGATAAAAATTCTAAAAATAGTCTCTAAAGACAAGTCTGACTACAAAACAAGTAATTGTTTTAAATGTCAATGCGGCTTGGAACAACTCTGAATAAAAAGTAAATGCTCATTCTAGAAAATGTCATTCCCAGATGGTAAGTCTTCTTTTCAAAGTTGTTTCTGAACAATTTCCACATACTTATTAAACACTACTATTTGCATTCCTTAACATTCAAATTTGTTCTTATAAAGCAAAATATTATGAACTTAGAAATGTTACATTTCTCTTGAATTAAGAGGTTATAGAAAACATTAATTTGAAGCCAAATGACAGAAAAAAGAATCATTAATTATAAGGTGTTTGTGCATGACTAGGAATTAACTATTTTAAGTGCTCAATCTACCTATATTTGTGAGAACAGTTCTCCACATTTACACTTTTTCTGAACTTAAAAGAATTTGCTTTTTGACTGTTTACATTATTGGCCCTCATTTTGAAATAAGTTATAGTAATACTTTGTTATATTCTGCTGGCATGTGATGAAAGCATGACCTCATGATATAGTTAATAAAATGGAAAATTTTTTCTCTGAAATAAACATTCTCCAAAGTAATGTTAATATTAACCACTCTTTATTAATTTTATTATCCTTACCTGACTTTCATCCCCTAATCCCAGAAAGAAAGTGCTTTCTTGTAAAGTAATCAGTAAATTCTGGCAGATCCATGAATATAGGCACTATAAATATTAAACATATTCTTTTAAAAAAAAGAAAGCACTACCATCTCTGGACAAGGTAACAAATGGACTAGGTCTTTGTCTCCTACCTGCTTTAATTTTGTTTTTTTTTTCTTAAGTGAGGCAATCGGGGTTAAGTAACTTGACCAAGGTCACACAGCTAGTATGTGTCAAGTGTTTGTTCTGAGGCCGCATTTGAACTCAGATGCTCCTGACTTCAGGGCTGGTGCTCTACCCACTGTGCCACCTAGCTGCCCCCTGCTTTAATTTCGTAATGGCAAACCTAGACATTGATATCATGGCTGAATCCTTAATATCACTCTTGACAAAGAGTAAGATTAAATAAAATTACCATTCCAGCAAACCGTATTTTAAAATGAAGCTATGAAAGAGGTGTATTTTACATTTCACCAAGATCAGTCATGCTTTCATAATCTAAAGTCAAATTGCTACAATTTCACAAAAGAGAAATTGCTATGCTATTTTCCAGTTTTTGTGTGTACAATTTTACTGACATTTTACCACAGGCATACCCCAACTCATGTCATTAATTGATCTATTATGCAGAAACACAATGTTAAGCAAAATACCATTTTAGGAGACAGTCCACAGGGACAGAAATAAGCAGAACTAAAACAGCAAGGATGGGGAACACTGACCTCTCAGAGTGGAAATGGGTGCGAGAAGCAGAAGTCAGAGCCACCGGATTAGGCGGCATCCATATGAACATAACCATAAAATAGCGTTTGTGAGGGCATGGCAAGGCATAAAGGTCTTCATGATGTTACTATGAAATGGTACTGGTTTAGGTAATGTTTTGTGGGGTATGCCTGTAGCTAAGAAAAACACTTCACCTAAGTCAAGTTCTTAAGTCAAAAAAATCATGATTCTTTGCGTCGATGTTACTTTCCTGGCTAACATGAAGAGGACTGCCAGGAAATAAAATAACATTAATTTTGAGTCAATTGAAATTGACTAATATAATTTATCGCTCAATTAAAAAAAGAGAAAGAGAGAGACAGAGTGAAGCCCAAACCCAACAAAACATACCTACAATGGGCTGGTGGCAAAAACTCCAATTTCAGTTGGTTGAATTCATAGGGTTTAAAGCTGGATGGGACCTTAGAGATCCTCTGGTCCAACCCCCTCATTTTACAGAGGAGTAAACTGAAGCCCAGAGAGGGGAAGGGACTTGCCCAAGGTCACACAGGTAGTAAGTGGCAGTTCAGCTGGAAGGGGTTAACCATAACACACTGCTTTGTTAGAAAGAATTTTTTTAGGTATGTGTTAATCTTGCAGGTAGGAAATGTCAGAAAACAAGAAAAGAAAAGTATACGTATTTGTTGAGTAATATTTACCAGTCATGCTGCTGTCTCTATTTAGCCCACTGTGAAGTTTACAATGAACAAATGATGCATCAAATAACCATGATCCAAAGAGATTCAAGATGCTATTCACTTTTGGCCTTCTCGGGGCAGGCAGCGGTCGAGGTTCTGAGCTAGTCTGGTTGGGACTAGAGAGTGGAGAAGTGGAAGACGTCTGGTGCGAGACTTTAGAGGCATGACCAATGTTAGCCTAGTGGAAGGACAAGAGGACCCCCCCACCCACAGAAAAAGTTTAAGACAAAGAGACCCAATTCAAGATCAGATGCTTAAAAAGTAAGGTGTAAAATAGAATTCTGATGACAATCAGAGATCTTACTGTGCTAGCCTTCACGGTTGCCTTATTCACAGTAACCGTTCGATGCCTTCGATTATGAGGGGGAGTTGTGCTGCTGGTAGTGCTCTGGGGCATGTTTAACCTGTTCACTGGTGTTGGTGGAGCACTGTCACTTCTAGGTCGAGAAATACCTAAAGCAAAAAAACACAGTAATGAGAAGAAACGGTCTTAGTTCAGAGGTTGGCATTACTCTTGAAGTTGTAACGTTTTACAGGACTATTATTACAAACATCTTCCCCACCCAAAACTGATAGTTTTCATGCTGACAAAATATTCACTTCCCACCATTACTTCACCTTGCCACTGGGACCTTGCCCTTTTACCCAACAGTTCCCTGAGACACTTCTATCTTGATTGGTAGCTGGGTCTCTCTGGGCGCTTCACTGCCCCCTTCTGGTTCTGGATCCATCATCAAATCAACTCTAAGGTTCCTCCTGCCATTCTATGCCCCTATGGTTCCATCCACGATCTCTGAAACTTGCTGAACCCAAATCCCTTCCCTGGTCACCACTCCCCTATACTCACTGTGTCCCCTAATTAGAATTTTGAGAGCAAGGAGTAGCTTAGCCCATAGTGTTTGGCCCGTAATAAGTTTTGAATAAATGCTTTTTCATTCACTTACAGTAAGTAGTTTAAACTCAGGATCCTAAAATAAGTTTAGGGATTTTTTTTAAATGATAAAACTAATTATATAAGAAAATTCTTTCTCTGAAAATGTAACTGAGATTCAAACTTCTTGCTTATTTGATATGCTATGATCCCTAGGAACCTGTAACAATTTTTTGAAAATTCACTTGAATGACTGTATCAAAGAATATCTGTCTTACAGTATCAAAAGGTACTATTTTAATTTGAAACAAATGTCTTAAATATAACTGGTGCCAAAAGACAAAGATCACCAAGTCTACTTGTGTTCCTGATCCCAGTCCCACCAGGCTACTTTAGGAGATTTTCACCTTGATCATCCTTTCAACTTTTTTCTAAAATTTTAATTATTTTTTTTTAAAAAAGCAATATTGATTTTTTTTTTTACCAGTTGCCTCCTCTCTTGGTTTCTGTGATATGCCACTATTGTATTTTGATTATCTTTTTTCTTCTCTGATTGCACTTTGAGTTTCCTTTGCTGGCTCATCATTCTCTTCCCATTGATAAATGTGGGCATTTACCAAGGTTCTATCCTAGGGTACCTTCTCTTCTCTCTCCCATTATTTCTCCTGATGATCTCATTAGCTTTAATTCAACAACCAGATTCTCTATGGACTCTCAGACTTTTATATTTTGTCTTTGTATGTATTCAACTCCAGGGTCTCTCTTGAAATCCATTAATTCCTCAATTAACTACTGAATGCCATGCATCTCCATCTGGCTATCCAGTAGGAATCTCAAACCCAAATCTTCTACTTCTCCCAAAACCAGACTCTTCTATTTCTCTTGACTGCACCACCATCTTTCTAATCTAGCCCCCCAGGGTTACAACCTTGGAAATATCTCTATCCAATCAGTTAAGCCTCCTTTCACAACATCTCTCATCTCTGTCTTCCTTCTCCTAAAACAACCTCCGCCCTAGTTCAGGACCTTATCACTCTTACCATGACTACTACATTAGTCTCCCAGTTATCTCCTTGTCTTCAGTCTCTTCTCTCCAACACACATCAGTCACAACTGCCCACCCACTCAAATCCTCAAAGGCCCCCTACTGCATCTAGCACAAAATACAAACAAGTCTGGCATTTAAAGAAAGCTTTCCACAATGACTCCCACCTACCACTGCACTCATTTCATATCAGTCCCCCTCCATGCACTCTCCATTTCTGTCCAACTGGCCTGCCTGGCATGCCTCGTCATGTCTGATTCTTTGTGACCCCATTTTCTTGGCAGAGATACTGGAGGGGTTTGCCATTTCCTTCTCTAGCTCATTTTGCAGATGAGGAACTGAGGCAAACAGGGTGAAGTGACTCGCCCAGGGTCACACAGCTAATAAGTGTCTGAGGACAGATCTGAACTCAGGAAGCTGAGTCTTCTTGATTCCAAGCCCAGTGCTCCATCCACTGCATCACTTGACTTTCTTTGTCTATAGGTCTATATACTAGGCACTATAAGATAGACTGAAACCATTTTGTAAGGCATTTAGATTTGTAACCAATTTAGATTAATTCCCAATATAAATCAATTCCCACAAGGACAACAAGAGCCTAAAAACAATCACTTTGGCCAGCAAATACTTAATCTCTTTGCCAAGTGAAGAGATATACCCACAGGAAAATCTAATGGTAGAGGATGGTACGTGATTTTGAGAAGTATCATGTCATAAAACAGCAAAAAGCTGTGGGGGGGTACACTGGGGAAGTGATTTTACAGAAAATTTGGCAACAGACCCAACTAAACCGAAATATCCTAAGGGCTTTTAAAGGGCAAAATTATAAGGATGACTAGAAATATTAAAAATAAAGAGGAAAAATCTGTAACCCTTGTCTCCATATCCATGATGGTGAAGCAACATTAATATTCTCATATTACAGTCACTGATGAACTACATGAACAAATAAAAACAGTACTCAAGAAAATGAAGAAGATGAGAATATCTGTGTTATACAAATATGTAGAGGGGGTCCACTGGAATTAGGGCTAGAAAATGGAACCATGTTCTAATGCATTAGAATATGAGCTCATTGCAAGTAGAGATTATTTCATTCTTTGTATTTGTGACCTTATTAGCTAGCCCAGGACCTGGTACATAATAGACATTTAATAAATATGAGTTGAAAGGCAGGTAGGTGACACAGTGGATAAAGCACCGGCCCTGGAGTCAGGAGGACCTGAGTTCAAACCCAACCTTAGACACATAACACTCATGTTAACCCCAACTGCATCACAAAAAAACTACCAGAAAAACAAGAAAAAAAATAAATATGAGTTTACTGATTGGAAGCAACACAAAGTTGAGAGACTGACTCTCAAAACACCTGAAAGAGTAGAGAATATTAAAGTGTTGGAAAAAAATCTCAGATTTTTTTATTACATAAAAAGGTGGGGGATAAAAATAACATTAACTACTGTTTCATGTTTTTACTTTCATATCTCTACAGAGAGATAAACTTATTCTTTATAAGGATAACTATATATACTCTCACCCTCTGAGGGTAACCTCAATGAGGGTCTGAGAAGGAAACAGACAGATTTTTGTAAAGGATATTCTACAGCAGGCCATATATACACATTCAGTTGACTAAATGGTATAGAAAATATAAGATTTATGCTTATTTTTTGTGGGTTAAAAAAAGCATTTACTTGATAGATATGCCAGAAAGGCTCTCCTCCATGACATCTCCCATAAATGTCAAAATTTTGCAAACTTTCTTGAAAGATATAAGAGGTTCAAATCAAAGAGGAATGGTGAAGTTTTTCTGATGTGCCTGTTTGCAGATGTTGTGTTGATTACAAGTTTTAGAACACTGCAGAGGCTCCTAAAGAAATCCATAATCACTTAGGAGTTTGGCTTAACAATCCATACACATTAAGAAAACCGGGGGAAAAAATGAAGAATACTTATTATCCAGATTACGATATACAGTTGAAAGGAAAATCCAAAGAGCTGGTCCCAAAACTGAACAGAAAGGGGGAAATGCGCTGTACTGCCTTTAGGGAACTGCATAGCATTTTGAATGGCTCCTTGTTTCTCTCTGAAACAAAGGCATATCTTGTTAACATCAGAGTTCTTTTAATGATACTGTAAGGCTTGCAAGTCATGGAATACTAGTATCCCCAAAATTCCATGTGTAAGTAACCAAAAAGGCAATGAAAAAGCACAAGGTAGGTACGAATAGAATCCAACAAATTTATCAATATGGTGCTGAGCAGGAGAAACAAGATAAAAGATATTATCAGAAAGCTGTATAACCAGAAAATAAGGTAAGCTGGTGATATATCAAGAGATAAACAATGGACAGACTGCCTGTTCTACTGGCATCCACACAATATTAAGAGATCTAGAAGAAAGAAACCAATGAAAGATTTATGGGAGGCTGTAGGAAAACAAATTGCACAGGATGAGAAGGTATGTATGGGCTGTGATCTGCACCCTTGAAGGGAGCATTTACAAGGGTGAGATTATAGATCCAAAATATCTGAGGCACTCTGGAGATACAGAAACAAAAATGAAAGAGAATAGCTCCTAACCTCAAAAAACTTACATTGTACTTAACTGGAATGCTTGAATTAAAAGAATGAACTAGAAGACCTCAAAGTACTTTCTACCCTTGTGTATTCTATGGCTGAAAAATACATCTTAATTTTGGTATATTTATTCCTAGATCCAGTTACTTACCAATAAATACAAAACTCACCTAGGAATGCATCCACCAAGCAGCTGATTCCACGCATAGCACGAAAAAATATATGAGGCAGATGTTTAAGGCAGGGATATTGATTCAATTCTTGTGTCATTCCACTCACATTCAGGAACTGTTCCTGAAATTTGGGAGTAGAGCTTATAATGGCTGGATTACTCAAATCCACGGGATTACTATCAAAAAAGAGAAAAAGTTTTACTTTACTAAATTAACTACAGTCCCTTAACAAGTAGAACTTTGATAATATAAAATGAGATACGATTTAAGATATGATTCAAGAAGGTCACTGTGTCTGTATATCAGTCCAGTTTTTATGTTACTCAGTCAAGTGTCACCTGTCCTCTCTACTCCTCAATTTCTGGATCTCCAAGATTGGTTTGGACTTGATAGCTTCAAAGTTCCATTCAATTCAACTTAAACAATAAGGACATACTACGTGCAAGCCACTGTTCTAGAATTAAGGTAAGGGTGCTAGGGTGAAGACAAAATGAAAAAGTCCCAGCACTAATGAAACTTAAATTCCACTGAGGGATATAATATATGCACAAATGAATATAATACAAAGAAATCTGAGGATGAAGAGAGTATTAACAACAGGAGTGGAAGGAGAGCAGAAATCAGGGAATACTTAAGAGGTATAAAGATGTGAGGAAGAAGCTCATTCTAGACGTAGGGGAGAGCCTGTATGAAGCTCCAGAGACATGCAATAGATTGTTGTGGAATAGTATACATGCCAGTATGCTTGAATGGACAATGCATGAAGAGTAACATGAAATAAGGATAGAAGGGTAGGCTGCAGCCAGACTGTAAAAAATCTTTAAATGGCCCACTAAAGTGTTTCTACTTTATCCTAGAGGCACTAGGAAGCCACCAAAGATGTCTGAGCAACTCTACTCTTTGACCCCATAACCAAGTTCCTCTACCTCTTTGGCATTCATTTTCCTCACCAACAAAATGGCAAAAAACAGGGGAAAGGGAATGAAGTGATCTCTAATATCTCTTCTAGTTCTAACAATTCTGTTTAAGGTTATGCCTTTCTTACACTTAGAATAGAGAGACAAATGTGGCCTTACAGCTAGTGGCCTAAGGATTTCCTGGCTCCAATACCTGTCTATGCTATTTATAAGAAAATGAGTGTCAAAGAAGGTGCATAGGGCCTGCTATTACTGCCTTCCTGGGAAAATGTCCAGTAGCGAAAAAGACACCACCCAATCTTTGCAATAAAACCTGTTAAATGTAGGAGACTTTCCCACCTACAAGAGGAAAACTTGACTACAAGTTTACATAAGCTCTTTCTTTGACTTGTCAGAGAATAAGATCACTGTATACTAGAGGGATTTTCAAATTTTTTGATGTCCACTAGCATGGATTTTATTTTTCCCAACCAATTACATGGATAAAATAGTAACAAAGAAATGGTAAGGTAAATCAGGCAATAATTGTAGAGATAAATATTTAACATAACAGTAAAATTCATGAACAGGTTTACACATGAATATCTGGATTCAGAATATATTTGAAATAGTTTATAACCACACAGATTAGCTATATAATCCCATAAAACTACATTTATACATAATTTGTTAGGAGTCCAATTTTCATTCATTGTCGTTAATATATAAAAATTAAAAAGAAAAACTTTAATCATTTAGCATGTAGGTAAAACATATAATTTGTTTTCTTAAAAATTAATAAAGCCTCATTTTCATTACAATATCAACATTTTTTTTTGTTGAAAACAACTCCCTAACACCTAGAAAAATGCTAAGAATGTAGTAGAAAATAATAAATACTAAAGAGAATTTTTTTTACCATACTGATTTACTTTAAAGAGTCTGGTAAAATGTAAACACTCTTTCTTGGATGAAAGAAATTATCTTATATTTTGATTTGGTTCAATTCAATAAACACTAAGCCTGTATTACATATTCTGAACAGTATTAGGCACTATTAAGATTTAAAAGAAGCATAAAAGAAGCTTTCAATCTCACTGAGGGGATAATGCATAAACAAGGGAAACACTTAAACAATACCTTAACATATGTAAAAAGCGAAACCATGTCTGTGCAATGCAGTCATTATCCATTTCAGGAGGGATAAGACTGGCATCTTCATCAGGAACTTTAAATGGAGGAAATGAAGGACCATACGTAAAACGTAGTAACCTAGGAAAAGAAATACTGATTCATGAAATTCACCCTTAAATCACTATAGAAAAAAACAAAAAGCATTAAAATATGAAGAGAAGACATCCAATTCAATTGAAAGCCAAAAGGTAGCCAAACTTCAGATGAACCTGGAAGGGGACACACAGCAAATAACATGATGTAATTTATTTGATTCTATCTCTCAAAACATACAATATAATTGTGTTAAGGGTTTTAGGTGACATTTTATTTCTCATTTAGGACATCTGAGTACAGACATTGATGGTTCTTAAATTTTCAATAAAAAAATTAAAGAAATAGCATAGATATATTCTAATTTACCAAACAAAAAAATTCACTTCTAGCAAGAACCTCTAGTGAATGTTACTAATCAATCATTTTACAAATTTCTTTTTTATAAAAAACATCTATTGCATAAAGCATTGAACCTGCTGAGGTACGCCATCATTTACTCAACAAATATTCATTGAGTACCTACTGTAACAGACAAGGGCCTTGTGTTAGTTACTATGGGGAATCAGGCATGGTCTCTGACTTCAAAGAATTTCTAAGCTAGTAGCAGGAGAATAACAAGTCAAAGTACAATAAGTGCCACAAAAAAAAGTAAAGTGCTTTAAGAATTCAGTAGAGGGGCAGAGCACACTTATTAGAAGAGAGTGGGAGTAGAAATCAAGCAAATCTTTATGAAAAAGGTAATATTTTGGCTGGGACTTGAAGGACAGGTAGAACTTTCACAAGCAGAAATGGAGTCGAGATATATAGCTTGAGTGATATTTTCACACATCTAAAGGATTGTCACAAAGAAGTGAGCTTAGATTTACCTTAATTGGTCCTGGAGAAGAGACACAGGATTAACTGACAGGAGCTTATAGGAAGGCATATTTTATCCCAAAATTAAAAAAAAAACCAAAAACCTTCCCAATACTTAGAACTTAGTTCAGTGAATGGAATTGTCTTCCTCAGGACACAGGGAATTTGTCATTAAAGGCCTTCAAGCAGGGGTTGGAGGTTGGGGATTTGTAGAAAAGAGTTGTGCTTCATGTAGGGGAAGGGCTAGACTAAAGGACCTCTGAGGTTCTTTCCAACTCAAGCACTAGGATTCTATCTTTAAATTCTATTTCACAAATAATTAAGATAAAAATTGGGGAAAATCTGCTTTGTTCAAATAAATAACCAAGGATTTTATCAATATAGTTAGTGTGACCAATTTAAGGAAGAAAACCACTTACCTAGAAGTGAGTGCACAAATAGCTTTGCTCCACTGCTCCACCACAGCTGGGTGATGCCTCCAGTTGGCCACCATCTCCTTGGCAGTTTTCCAGTAGGGTGGGGTTGGGAAACAACGGGTACAAGCTAGCAACCAGACCTCAAAGAGAACACCAATCAACTTCTCTGCTAGATTTTCAGCGATGCCACCTTACCAAGAGCGAAGAAAACATATATTTGGCATGCTTATTATGAAAACATTATAGGTCAAATATTCATGTGGGGAGAAGTCATAAAACAATTAAACAAACTTCACTGCATATGTATAGTCATAATAACTAGCATATTAGTCTGACATTTTGCCTTCAGATAATTATTGTCCTCAATAACGAAACTTTAAAATACACATTACAGCTAAGCTACTGTGACAGAAATCTTGAATAAATTCAAACTGAATTAAAATTTTTAGGTTAAATTGCCATTTGTCAAATAATAGCAATCAGTAAGAGTTTCAGCAAAGCTCTGATACCACTTTAATGCCCTCTTTTGTGCAATATTACACGCAAGGCACAAGGAGATTGACAAGGAAGGAGAAGGAATAACAAACACACAAATACCAATCTTTCATAAATGGAAATGCATCCCCCTGCTGCTGCTTTTAAATTACTGTGGGGAAAAAAAGAAGTTAGATGATAGATATCCTTTATTACAAGAGGCTTCAGAGGGCAGAACTAGGAGCAATGAACAGAAATTATAGAAGATTTCAGTTCAACAAAAAAGACAGGATTTTGCAATACTTAGAGCTACAGAAAGAGAAGAGAGAGAGAGAGAGAGAGAGAGAGAGAGAGAGAGAGAGAGAGAGAAAGAAAGAAAGAAAGAAAGAAAGAAAGAAAGAAAGAAAGAAAGAGAGAAAGAAAGAAAAAAAGCACTGCCCTGAGAAATAGTGAATTCCATGTCACTGAAAATGTTCAAGCTGAAGCTGAGGATGATTATAAAGGTGATTCCTATCTTAGATGAGAGACTGAACTAAATGACCTCTAGGTTCCTTCCAGCTGTGAGATTCTGATTCCTTTTTAAAAAGTATCCTCTGACAAAACTAATACAACCAAGATTAGATGGAAAACAGAAATCTGGAAAATAGTTTTTACAGTTAGTGTCTCTGACAAAGGCCTCATTTCTCAAACACATAGAGAACTGAGTCAAATTTATAAGAATACAAGTCATTCCCCAATTGATAAATGATCAAAGGATATGAAAAGGCAATTTTCAAATGAAGAAATCAAAGCTATCTATAGTCATATAAAAAAAAATGCTCTAAATCACTACTGATTAGAGAAATGCAAATTAAAACAACTCTGAAGTGCCATCTCACACCTATCAGATTGGCTAATATGACAGAAAAGGAAAATGATAAATATTGGAAAGAATGTGAGAAAATTGGGACACTAATGCACTACTGGAGTTGTGAACTGATCCAACCAGGCTGGGGAGCAATTTGGAACTATGCCCAAAGGGTTATAAAACTATGCATACCATTTGATTCAGTAACACCACTACTAGGTCTGTATCCCAAAGAGATAAAATTTTTTAAAAAGGGGAAAGGATCCATTTGTACAAAAACATTTATAGCAGCTTTTTGTGGTAGTAAAGAACTGGAAATTGAGTGGATGTACATCAATTGAGGAATGGCTGAACAAGTTGTGGTATATGCTAGTAATGCAATACTACTGTGCTATAAGAAATGATGAGAAGGCTGATTTCAGAAAAATCTGGAAAGACTTACAAACACTGTCGCAAAGTGAAGTGAGCAGAACCAGAACACCATATAGAGTAACAGTAATGTTGTATGATGCTGTGACTCAGCTATACCCAGCAATACAATGATACAAGACAATTCCAAAGGACTGAACTGATGAAATCTGAATGCAGATTGAAGCATACTATTTTTCACTTTATTTTTTTCTGTGTTTTTTTCAGGGGGGAGGGGAGAGTTGTATCTTCTTTTACAACATGACTAATATGGAAATAGGTTTTGCATATTTTCACATTTGCACATGTACAACCTGTATCAAATTGCTTACCATCTTTGAGGGAGGGGAAGGGAGAGGAAGAATTTGGAGTTCAAACTTCTAAAAAATGAATGTTAAAGATTGTTTTTACACGTATTTGGGGAAAAAAGAAAATTTTATTAATGTAAAAAAAAATCTTCTGAACACCAGCAGAAGGGGCAGATGAAACAAAGAAGATTTCTTCCTTGGAGAGGACATAGGAACTACAATGTTAATTTAGAAGACGTGTGTATTGCTTTCTAGTACACTTAAGAGTCTGTAATATGAGATTATCTTTAAATGGGTTAGATGTAGGACATTATGCTGCCATATTTACACAAGATGCAGGGTTTTTACAACAAAAGAGTTCCAAAGGCTGGATACCACAGTCATGTATATCTCATTTATGGTACGTAAAGTAGCTCAGATTTTTAGCCTCTACTTATAGGAAGCAGTGGTAAAAAGACGACAACAGGCGAAAGAGTAGGATGGAAGGAGATCATCAAAGAGGCAGCAGGAACAGAGATGTAGACCAAATCTGGGAAATGAAAAGGAAAAAGGATAAGGGGGTACTAAGGAAACTTAATAAAGGGAAAGGCTTAATAGGAAGAAAATGTATAAATAACACTGAGGACAGTACAGAAGGAGGTATGGGTCTATAATTTCACATCCTTCCCTCATTGTCCTCTCAAAAAAAGAAAATTTAGCCCTTTATTTAGGAAAGAGATTCTTAAAACTTTTTTTGTATCCTGGACTCCTCTCATAGTCCTGGACTCTTTCTCTGAATAATATTTTTAAATGCACAAAATATTAAAGATTGTAAAGGAAACCAATTACATTAAAATACTATTACCAAGATAGTCTTTAAAATACAAATTCATGGACCCCAGGTTAAGAACCCTTGATTTATATGTCATTCTGTTAACATACAATTGTAATTCAACCTTTTATAGTATTTCATAACTTTTTAATAAGACATATTGACAACTTTATATACATGTCATGATTTGTACCAGTTTTTTTCTTTAAATAAAACTAGAAGTTTATTATGTGCTCACATCAGAAAAATATAATGTTGGAAGTAATTACTGCTGAAGTATTATCAAGTTTTTGAAAGTTTCCAAATCTACAGAAATGCTAAGTTTGATTTACGGATGGTTACTCCTTATTGAAATTATCAGTCCATCAATGTCTTTTGAGATGAATTGCATTTAATTCAAATAAACATTTACTAAGCACCTACTATGGGCAAAAATAAGTTCTATGTGATAAAGAAGAAACAAATACCAGTTAAGACAGCTCCTCTCAATCGATGCATGCCAGCCTCTTCATTCACCCTTTCTATCCTCCTCTGGTTTTTATAAAATTTATGGATTAGAAAGATACATAAATACTCATGAGAGTACAAGAGATATGTTTTTTGTCACCTCTACTAAGCAAAAAAGGGTATAAGAAACTAACTTAGCAGATGCTGTTCAGAGGTTATATGGAGAAATTTCCACTGATAATGACCCACAGACTTTTTCCCCTGAGAAAAATCACTTATTTAGCTGCATCTGGGATGGTATCAGAAACACTAGAAACTCTACAGCTTGTACACCTAGGAATGACACCCTGCCTGGAAGTGAAGAGATCTACAACTACATTCTTTCATAAGGCTTTTTGACCTCAAAATAATGAAATTCACACATTTCCATAGAAGAAAGAAAAGAGGCTCCTATTTAACTCAGTCTCTACAGGAGGCATCTATGCCCACTCTCCATTCCTTTCACCTGTTGTGAATTCCACCCCACTTTTATTATTATTGTGAGAATCATGGCATCTAGTATAAGGCTCTGGAAGTATCATTATGGAATACAGGCCAAAATCACAGGCTGAGCTCCTGAATCAGGTCCAAACTCAGTTCCAATGGAAAAGAAAATGTATCTTCAAACAAACCACTTTCTCTGACACATCTTTGCTACTGATCATTTTAAGTACCTGAGAAAATTCTAAAGCTGATGTGTTCAAAGGTTACAATGTGGTTGAGGAACAGGGCCAAAAATAAGTTATTTTAAAAACAGAACAAAAAACTACAAAATAACCACAATGAAAAACCCCAAACACACCTACCTTGAACAGTTGGCATTGCCAGAAGAATGTCATTAATCTGCAGGAGAAATAATAATAAAACTTCCCATGTTTCTCGTGCCATGATGGTTGACTCACGGGCTAGTTTCTGGATGGCTCTCAAAACCTGTAAGCATAGTCTAATCTGACTGGACCCCTGTTCCTGCCTATAGAGAAAACAGATAACAGAATTGAAATAAACAGATTTGTTGCTAAATGCTTTCCCACAGAAGAGTCAAATCAACCATTCAGAGTACTGGAGTCACACTAAGATTATTTTTTTCATTTGAAAAATACTCTATTATCATGCTGAAACAGAAGGTCAAACCTAAGCAAGCATAAACATAGTCATACAAGCAAGTCTAGTTCTTAAGTTCTCACAATGGAATGTCAATGTGGCCTCTTTTGTGTCACGTACTTGAAACTTATGGTTCTCACTTTGATTATCAATATAGTACGACAAAGCTACAGGTACCTGTTAGAGGACATATGATCATGAATTGAATGAGATACAGCACCAGTCCAAAGCTTAAGACACCTGACATTTGAGAAGGATGGTCTAATGGACACATTAACTATACGTGTATCTAGATTCTTCAGATTCTAACCTTTTACTCTGTTAGAACATCAGAAAGCAAAATACTACATTATCCCAGCTCCTCACATAAGCTGATTTAATGCTATACACTCCGCCTTAATAGGATGATAAAATCACTTGGTTAAAATGTTTCTTTATCTTTTGTATAATTGCCTTTGGAAATACCATCCATTATGTCACTCAGCATCTTTACATAAAGTTCTGTAGAAAATGTTCCTGCCTGTGATCTTCAGAGAACACACATCATAAAAACCTAACATTTACTGATTCTATTGAACAAATTAAATCTTGATTTCTTAAAGGGAAGCAGCATGGTACAGTGAAAAGAAAACTGTATTAGAAAGTAAGAGTTCTGGTTTTTAAGTCCACATTCTGCTGCTAACTAAACTATGGAATTTTGAGCAAATCATTCTCAATTTCAATTCTTCCTTTTGTAAAATGAGAAGATTGGTCTAGATGATTTCAAGGGTACCTCCCTAGCTTCAATGTTCCATGAATATAAGGATTCCATCCTTAAACGGGATAAAATTAGCTTGGTGGTCAAAAGAAGTTACATCATTCATTCAAAAAGCATTAGGCATCTACTGTGTATGGGAAGTTGTGCTAGGTGTTAAAAAGTCATAAGACACTGTCCTTACTCCCTAAGACCTAACAATCTTGTATGGGAAAGACAGTTGTCCATCCCAGGTAAGAACAATGTGAGCAAAGGCACAGAGGAAAACCAAGACAGAATAAGATCAGGGAATGGCAAGAAATCCAGTGTGGATGGAATCAAGAATGCATGAAGGGACATGTACAGCGTGTCCCAAAAGTCTTAGTGCAATTTAAACATTTAACAGCTTAAACTGCACTAAGATTTTTGGGACACCTGTATAAGGCTAGGAAGGCAAGTGGGTTAGATTATAAAGGGCCCTGAGTGGTGGGCTAATGAAAGTTCCCTATAAGTCAGCAACTGTTAACAATAAGGATGGATAAAGCAGTATAATCAGATGGAATAAATGTATGGAGGAGGCAATGCTGAGTATAAAAGAGCAAGGAGTATTCTGAGTCCTTGAGTAGATGGGGGAGTGGGAGATGGAGCAGCCATCACTGGAACAGCAATATTCTCAAGAGAAGTCCAAATAAATTTAAGAGCATCAACAAAGTTTAAACCTGTACGGCAAAGAGGTTTTAAAAACCCTCTATCTCGGAATGAGCTACTGTTGTTGTTTTAAGGGGAGGTGGGCAATATTCATAAGACGTGTTAGATTAACACCATTCAGCCAACGATATGTAAAACTATTTGTGTCATTTAATGCAGAAAGAGATGATCTCAAACTCCAGCTGTTTGGTACAGTAAACAATACTCATCTGATATAACTTTACAGGACATAATTGGCCAGGTTCTTTCTAATATTTAGACATTTCTTAGGATATTGTAGATGAGTTGTAAGTAATGGATATACAGTTCTTAGAAAAAAGCCTGACTGCAAAGTAGCAACAAACATAGTAGAATGGAAAGAATTATAGAAATGGAGTCAGAAAACCTGGCTTGGAGTTCTGGCTCTGCCACTTACTACATGACTTTGGACAAGTTCACTTCAACTTCTCCAAACCTCAATTTCTTTATCAAAGAAATGGGCATAATGATCCCCGTACCACCTACTTCACATGGTTGTTATGGCGATCAAATAGAATAAACATATGTGGAAGTGCTCTGAAATCATGACGTGTGTATATGGAAGTGCATACATCTGAATTACTTTTAAGTAGGAGACAGGTTTTCGGTCTACTAGCGTGAAATGTCACAATGTCTTCACTTATGCTAACAAACATGCTAGAGGTGAAACTGAACATTCAAAGTGCATATCCACATATGGTTCAAGAAAAAGTCTAGTTGGGTAAATTTTATACAAATTCCTACTCAATTCTCCCTTTTAACTTGGAAGTACAACATTAGTCTCCAACTAGAAAGCCATCATCCAAAAGGCTAATAGTGCTTTATCAAAGTACTCATCATTAAACTACATTTTTTGAGTACTCGAAACTTTGTAAAGTACTTTTACCTCATTTGATCCTCAGAACAACCTCCTGAGGTAGGTAATACAGATATTAATGTTTTACACACACACACACACACACACACACACACACACACACTCCACTTAAAGATAATAAAACTGAGACTAAGAGGTTAACTAACTTGTTCATGGTCACACAGTAATTACAGATAGGATTCAAACCCAGATCTCTAAAGACCATCACTCCTTCCACTATACCAGTTATCTCTCAATTTCTATAATTTCTTAAAAAGAAAATTCTATGGTTCAAAAATATTTGATGATACTATGAAAAGTCAGAGAACTGCCAGTTATTTCTTAAATTGCTTCTTACCTTGGTACAAAAAGATTTTGCAGGTGTTTTAAAATAGTTTGAACATATAGGTTGGGTTCTTTGATGACTGGCAATGGAATGGAGTCTTTTGGTAATACTAGAGCCATAATCCAATCTGTATACACATCCACACAGTATTTTACAGTATCTCCATCCAATGGAAGGGTCAGTCCATAGCAAATCACTTCCATGGTCCATTTTACCTAAGCAAAGTAAAATACCAACATTAGATTACTGTTCTACTTTAAACACAATTGTAACTAAATAACGAGGCTACATTAACCACTTTTTACTGCTACAACACCAGAAGATACAGTACAGTCATCTTGATACACACATATTTACCTCGGACATAAATTTTCTAAATACCATGTATTACTACATGTATTCAAAGCAGAAACTTGAAACAAAAAACAAAGCACATTTTAAAATGGCAAACCTGCACAAAGCTTAATGCTTCTGGAGGAAAAAAAGGACATTCATGTCACTTTCAAGTTCTAGTCAAAAGTCAAACCCCCATCTATTCCTTCAAAACATCACATAAATCCAATAAGCACCTCTGTACTGTCACATATACTTTCCATTTTAGTTCAGTTCCTATCTTTAGGTGTAAATAATGAAGATAAAAGTGGGATCCAAATATTGCATTCATATCAGATCACTAATCTCTAGCTCAGCAGTACCTTACAGCCTGACTTTTTATAGTTTGGGCCCAAGACCTCTCACACTTTGATATTCAAATGCTGATTTTCAAAGGAACACTGCCTCCTAAGCCTCCAGTGACCTTTCCTATCCCCCTGAACTAAGAAACAATGGGGAGCCCTGAGATAAGCAGTTCCAAGGGATCTGAACTCCACTTCTAGCTCTGGCATCTCTTCTTCCCACCAGTCTCACTACTCTCTTCACTATTTTCCACTAGTATCATTCTTTCTCCACACCTCCAGAAAAGTAGGAATGGTCCTAGTTCCACACTAACCCAGAATTTGGCTCCTCTGCAGAAATCCTAAACCTATGACCATTTTCTCTCTCTGGAGAAGCCATATGAGGATAGGATGGTGATGGAGTTGTTATGAAGACAATAAGCTCGTAGTGACTGTTGCTTTTTTTAATAATGAGAATACATGCTAAGCCCTTCTAATCAGGGGTCTTCTAGAATTAAGATGGGAACTACAGTAGCAGGAGTAGAGGGCATACCTTACACATCTCCAAAATAAAGCTGGAACCTTTCATTTTAAAAAGCAGCTAGACTCTGAGTTGTGTGCCTATTTCAGTAGGAATGAAAAGGCCTCTCATAAACAAAAGGGTCCCAGCCAGTAGGGAATATAGATAATAAAATGATTCAATTCACTCCTGATTATACTCATTTACTTCAGAAATGGGGCACAAAACTAGATGGCGCTAAAAGAAAAATGCCTATGTTGTTAGGCAGTAATTGTAGCAGTAGGATATATTATACTTTTAAAAACCTGACAAGCCTGCAATACCTACTGTCTTTTAATGATGTTAAGTTTAAGTAAGCTGTATAGAGTAGAAGATAGCAGTTTCATATGTTGTCTTCTTTTTCTATTCTTTGTTCAGGGAAATGTTCACATTTACTCACGTCTGTACAATTTTATAATAATAAAAAAAATGCATCAAGTTTTTAGATACCCAACCATACAAAGACACACTTACTTCTTTGTCTGTTTTTAACAAACTTTCACTTCCAGCCCCCGAAGAGGCATTTAAGGCTTGTCCGAGAGGACGTACTACTGCATTTGCAACATCTCGTCCAACACTCTCAGGGTAGCTGTGAAGGACACTAGTATGACCCTGATCATTCTGAATAACCAAATGAAGTGACCGCCACTCAGAGTACATTGTGCCGCTAAAGTACTATCCAAAAGGTACCTGAAAAAAGCAAAAACAGTTATGTGACAGATACACTTTTGTAAATAAAAAATCTAATTTGTGCTTCATAGAGACATGAAATAAATCCAGAAGGAACATCATATTATCTCTTTTAAAACCGTGAACTACAAGCTGCAAACAATCAAATCAATGGATTCTATCTAAATGTTCCAGCATATGCCCTGAATAATACCTAGATGGAAGGCCAAATGAGGAATTAAAAACTTTGGCTCCACAGATAAGGTGCAACTGTGAGACCACTTAGCAAGTTTCTTAACCTCTCAAGTCTCAGTTTTCCTCAAGGTAAAATGGGCATGACAATATTTTGTTCACCTAAAAGAACTATTATAATGATCAAATACAAAAACACACACACATATATGTATATATAGACATATATATATATATGTCTGTATATACACACATAGATAGATAGACAGATGGACACATACATGAATGCTGTGAAAAGAGGAAAGATTCCCTCTTGAACAAGAATTACTGAGAAAAATGGAAAGCAGTTTGGCAGTAATTAGGCTAATATCAACAACTCATATCACACACCAAAATACAATTCAAGTGGATACATGATTTTAAAGAAGTCATTCCACCAACAAAAATATTAGAGACCTGAAGAGGCTACCATTCAGATCTATGGTTCTGGGAATAATTCCTCATTAGTCAAGTTATATAATACATCACAAAAAAAAAAAGGCATTTGAGACTACAAAAAAAATTAAAAAGCTTTTGCACAAACAAAATCAATGTAATCAAAGCAATAAAACCACTGCTGGGGGTGGGGGAGGCACAGAACTTCAATTCAAATATTTTTAGTATCTTAAGATACTGAGGGAATTGATATAAATATATAAAACAAGAACCATTCTCCAGTGGACAAATTCCCCAGTGGGTCAAAGGATTTGAATTGTTTACAAAGGAAGAAATGTAACCATATTTTTTTAAATGCTCTAAATTACTAAGAAGACAAATTATTAGGTTGGAGAGGTTATGGTAAAGCTAGGGATGCCAATATGCTGTTGATGGAGCTGCGAATTAACCCAATCATTCTGAAAAACAATTTGGATCCTAGAAAAACTGCTAAACTTTTCAGACCCTTCAACTTAGCAATCCCACTAGGGGGCATATACCCCGGGGGAGGTGCAGGAGGTGAGGGGAGAAGGTGTCACAGATCTCATGGAAACTAAAATGTTTATAGCTGTACTTTTGGTGTTAGAAAAAAAAACTGGAAACAAAATGAGTATCCATCAACTATGCACAAATTATGGTATACCAATGTAATGGAATATTATTGTGCATTAGGTACCTGCTTAATTCAGAGAATTCAGAAAATCTTAGAAAGGCTTAGAAATTGATACACAGCAGTTAATTAAAATAATATGTACATAGACCACAACAGCATAAAGGAAAACACTTAAAAAAAAAGAATTCAAGTCAATTCAATGACAAAGCTTGACTCCAAGGGACTGATGGCAAAACAAAACTTTCCCTCCTCTCAGTACAGAGGTGGTTGACTACATGTTTGGAATGGGATATATATGTCATCTAATTTAGTTAACATGCCAGTTTGCTTTACTTAACTTTACATCCCTTTATTGGTAAATGAAAGCAATGTTAAAAAAAAATCAATATAGCAAAGAACTGTAAACAGTAGATAACCACTGACTCCAGGCAGTGTCTAAACAAGTTGTGGTACATAAATGTATTGGAATGTTACTGTGCTTTAAGAAATGATGAATTTTTTTAAAAAAAATTATTTATTTTTAGCTTTCAACATTCACTTCCACAAGATTCTGAGTTTTAAATTTTCTCCCCCTCCCTCTCCTTCCCCCTCCCCAAGATGGCATGCAATCTGATACAGGCTTTACTTATACATTCATATTAAGCATATTTTCCCATCAGTCATGATGTAAAGAATTAAAACTGATGGGAGGAACCACAAGAATGAAGCAATAAAACAAAAGGAAAGCAAATAGTATGCTTCTATATGCCATTCAGACTCCTTAGTTCTTTCCCTGGATGTGGACAGCATTTTCCATCATAAGTCTTTTGGAGTTGTCTTAGATCCTTGCATTGCTGAGAAGAGCCAAGTCTATCAAAGTCAGTCAACACACAATGTGGCTGTTACTGTGTATAATGTTCTCCTGGTTCTGCTCACTTCACTCAACATCTGTTCATATAAATCTTTCCAGGTTTTTCTGAAGTCTGCCTGCTCATCATTTCTTATAGCACAATAGTATTCTACCACATTCATATACAACAACTTGTTCAGCCATCCCCAACTGATGACATTCAGCCATACCCTCAATTTCCAATTCTTTGCCACCACAAAAAGAGCTGCCATAAATATTTTTGCACAAATAGGTCCTCTTCCCTTTTTTTGGATGTCTTTGAGATACAGACCTAACAGTGGCATTGGTGGATCAGAGGATGTGCACAATTTTGTAGCTCTTTGGGCATAGTTCCAAATTGCTCTCCAGAATGGCTGGATCAGTTCACAACTCCACCAACAATGTATCAATGTCCCAATTTTCCCACATCTTCTCCAACATTTATCATAGAAATGATGAATTTTTCAAAAATGGTATGGTAGGAACAATATCCTAACTTCTCCCCTCATGCAGGTAAGGCTAGCTTTTCCTTAAAATGTTCCTAGAAAGGGGCAGCTAGGTGGCACAGTGGATAGAGCAGCATCCCTGGAGTCAGGAGGACCTGAGTTCAAATCCTGCCTCAGGCACATAACACTTACTGTGTGACTCTGGGTAAGTCACTTAACCCCAACTGCCTCACCCCCCCATCAAAAAAAATGTTCTTAGAAACTTGTTTGGTTCAAAGGGCAGCAGGCACAGATGCAAGCCCAGCAGATCCCAGCAGCAATGGCAACTCAGTGTCAGAATAAAAATAGCTAACATTTCTACAATGCTTTAAGGTTTGCAGAGCACTTTACAAATATTATCTCATTTTATCCTCACAACCATCCTGGGAAGTAGATGCTATTATTATCATCCCCATTTTACAAGTGAGGAAACTGAAGTCCAGAGACATTAAATGACCACACTACCCACAGTCACAAAACTATTAAGGGTCTGAGGTAGGATTTGAACTCTGGTCTTCCTGACTCCAAGTACAATGCTTTTACCCACCACACCACCTATCTGCTGAAGGGTGGATATCAGTACATTAAGTACAAAAGCCAAGCCCACTATAGCACACTATTTACTGTAATATAAAAAATGGCTGGCCTTTTCACATGGCTGCCAGTATACCACCCAGTGATCATGGTACAACTCCTCCCTAGGAAGGCTTGGAAGAGCAAATGACAGCATTGTTAGGGAGGGAGCTTCCTTTCTGGCAACAAGAGGGAGGTAAAAGTGTCTAACCAGCCTCCACAGAAGAAAAGAGGCAGTCACTCAGAGGCCTCTCATAAGGTAAAGCTTTTGCATTCCACCCCACTCCCTACCACAAGGCTCCCAACGTGTGCGTGTGTGTGTGGGAGTGGGGGACAGGTCTTGATTGGTAAGCCAGGAACCATCAAGTGAGTAGTGGTACAGGAAAATTACTTCTGACCTGTGATAAGACTGGATGACTATATAGGAAGTGTCATAATTTTTGCTAGAGCCCTGGTTTCTCTGATAATGCTGCTGCTCATGGTCACCTTTTACATTGAGAGACCTGCTGTGAACTATAAAGATCTGGCATCACTCACCACACAGATCTGACTGTTTAGACCTAGGATCTGAGCATTCCTGGGACTCCCCCAGATTTGGTCACTACTTTAGGAAACTGTTAGTTTACTATTTTCTCTTCCTCTTTCAGTGCTGCCTGTATCAGGCTTCTTAAATACGAGAGGTCAAGGTTGACCAGTAACAGCCCTAGAGTCATTTAAATGGTAGAAGATCCTCTAGAACAGTGATGTGAAACTCATAAAAACGGGGCCACTAAATGGTACACAAGAATCTACATAATGGGCTATATTATAATGACTTAGAAATCTACTTGTTTACATTTTTTTTATTAATACATCAACACATTAAAATCAGATGGAACTACAACTTAACCTAGTGTGAGCCACATTCAGGAGTGTTGTGGGCCATATGCTGCCCTCAGATCTTCTGTTTGACACCTCTGCTCTAGAAGACAATAAGGACCTTACCTCCAAGGGGTAAGAGCAATATCCTAACCCCTTCTCCCATGTAGGTTAGGCTAGTTTTTCCTTAAAAGGTACTAAGACATTCCCCAAGACTTGGCTGGCTCAGAGGACTAAAGGCTCACGCTACTGATGCCACTTACTTGTCATTTGGGTACAAAGCAACCATGAAGACCTGGAGGGGCTTTCAGATGCTACACAGTTCAAGTGTGACGGGAGCTTTACTCAGCTGAATCAAATCAAGGGATTCTCAATGCTTATCCTTGCTTTGCTGTTGTTAAGAAAATCTTTTGTTAACTGTTAAATGACCTATGAATGTCTAATTTTGTCTCAATATCAAACCCAAACTACTAGAGGATTATTAGCCTGAGTCAGGCTCAGCCCAGAACCCATGTGAAGCATATAATTTCACACTTTTTAAAAATATATTGGTTAATCTTGCTGAACTACCCTCTATCCCCATCTCACCCCACCTTTTAATTCTTTATTTTAAGAGATGGAGAGAGTGGAGGGAGGGATACACCAGGAAATGAAGGTGATATAAAAACAAAAGATACAAGTAAAACGAAAACTTGTTAAACACATCAATAAAACCTTTCAAATACTGTTAAACCTGCTAATAGTGCTACTAAGTGTAAGGGTCTGTTATTATTAAGAGCCCCAAGAAAACAGCTTCCTGGTCACTCCTTCCAAGAAACAGCTTCAGAGTCCTGTGAGTGGGAGGCTGGGAGGACTGCCATTCTGTGGGAGGTAGAAGAATTATAAATTCAGAGCTAGGACAATGTATACTGGTATGCTGACATATCCTTAGAATAGTCCAAAGCTCTCTTCCTAAAAT